AGGACTAAGACTGAGAATGCCATACGACTCGTACGTAGAGTAGCCAACAGGCACCATGGCCTCAAAGAAGACAGCCTGCTGCGTCTCGTACACGCGTTTGTTTTGTGCCATTTTACCTACGTTGCCGCTATACACAAATGGCTACGTGCTGAGCGCAATCAACTCAATGCGCTTATTCGCAAGGTGGTCAAACGAGCCCTTGGCCTCCCTATCACCACTCCAACGTACAAACTCCTCGAGCTTGGCGTACATAACACGCTAGAAGAGATCGCCGAACCTCAGGAACGCATGCAATTGACCCAACTCACCACCACCAAGGCGGGCCGCCATATTCTGCGCGAGTTCGGCTTCTTCTCCTCAAGGGCCAGGGACCCCCCAGAGTTGACTAATTCCCCGTGAAATCCGCGACCTTATCACGATCGCTCCCATTCCACGAAATGTACACCCCGAATACAACAAAGGCAGGCGCCTTGCGCGGGCGACCGCCATTCTCAAGCGCATAGACATGGAAGCGGACAACGTCTCGTTCGTGGACGCCGCTGCCTATCACAACAACCGAGCCTTCGCCGCGGTCGCGGTATGATCCGCGCAGCAGACTCTTAACTCTGCCACAATCCTCACCCGAAACCCCGAAGTAGCGAAGCAAGTAGCTATAGCTATAGCTATACTCGACAGCAAACGGGAATTCATCTACAGCGACTCCAGGCCGGCCATCAAAGCCTTCGAACGCGGAGTCATCTCCGACCAGGCGTTATGTATCCTGCGCAAAGCAGACACGAGTGTCCTGAAGCACCACACTGTCATCTGGTTCCCCGCCCATCTCGGCCAGGTGTCGGGTGCCCTATCCAACCTCAACGAGATCGCCCATGATGCAGCGCGCGCACTTACCGACCGCACGCCACAGGGCAACCCCATCTTGCTGGGTTAGATACCAATCGGGATGCACCAATTACGTACAATGAAATAAGAAAGCACTTTTACCTGGAGCGCCGCATTTTTCCACCCCCACATCTGAAACTTAACCGACCACAGGCATTAGCCCTACGCCTATTACAGACACACACGTACCCAAACCTTGCCACGCTTCACGTTTATTATCCCGATGCATACCCCAGCGACACATGCCCATCATGTGGACACACAGCGACACTCGCACACATGCTCTGGGAGTGTAGAACAACTCCTCCCGACTCTACCTCAAGCAAGTGGGAGAGGTCCTTCAGGAGCTCACTTCTCGCCGACCAACAATGGGCCGTCCAGCAGGCCCACGAAGCGGCCGCCAGGTACTCCCTGTCGGTCCCTATGTGGGAGACGCCCGCTACGCGCTAAGCGCGTCTTGCAGGACTGAAATAAAGTTTTTTTTCATTCCATTCCCCCCCCCCCCTAGTGTGGGTGGCTGGATCCGCCTCTGTGATAGGCCTACAGAGTAGTTCCTTCCTCGAGTGAGAATACTGCAGTCTCAGCACTCCTGTCGAGACACCAAGATAAATAAAGGAGGTTTTACCCACTACTAACAAAATTTTTGCGAAGATTTTGCTAACTTAGCTCTAATATTAATTTTACCAAAATTATTCCAATAATACCCTGAGATATAAAAAAATGCACAAACGAGCTTCATCAGCACTGATAAGATTGTGTTACAGCTTATTGTTTGTTTCCGCTTGATTATACGAGGGGAAGTAAAAATTATCTACACTTTCGTGAAAGCCTTTCTGATATTGTGCAGTTTGCCCTCTGACGTCACATATTTTATTTTTGTACTGTTGTAATGCTATGACAATATGACCTTATTCCTCAATATTTCTTTCTTCTGTGGCTGATATATACTGGCTCCTCTACTGTTAGTTTGCACCAAAGAGGAACAACGCCAGTGATCAGTTTTCTCCGATCGGAGGGTGTCAAACGTTCAGACATTCATGTCTGACTATATACAGAAGGACTGCGCCATGACGTAAAGCGGCGTTTTTTTTCAGGTTCGAGATATCGTGATTCGCAGTAAGCGATTCGCCCCAAACGCCGATGTTTCTTGTCGAAGAAGGCTTTGTTGTTGCATGATGATGCATGACGACACACGGCCCATCCCATTATTGAAACCATCAACAAGATGAAATTTGAGCTATTGGAACACCCTCCCTACAGCCCAGACCTAGCTCCATGCGACTTGTGCTTGTTTGGGACACTCAAGGATGCCTTCTGGTCGTTAATTTGCCTCAGATCTAGACGCAAACAACGTGGTGCAAAAGGGGCCTCCCGACAAACCAAAAACATTTTATTTCGAAAGAATACGTAAGCTCGTTGACCTTTAGAAAAAATAAGGAGGAAGATTATGTAAAAAAAAAGTATATCCATAGTGTAATCATCGCTTCATTTTATTATTCTGTAGAATTAATTGTGCAGACGATTTTTGATTTGCCCTCGTATGCAATATTTCTCGTTTTTTTTTTTTGTCATGGGAAGCGTACCAGAAAATGACATTTTATGCTGCTTTTGGTGTAAATGTCACGGAACTATTTCTTAACGTGCCGGCAAACCCGCTTTATTTGAACTGCAGCAGGCATTTTTTTGACACGACAGAGAAGTTTCACAAAACAGATTAGAACCATTGATATAGATAAAAGCGTTTTAGTAAAGGTTGCTCAGCGCAAGACCAATAGAAGGCAAAGGGAAAAAAAAACCCTGAGACGAGCACAAATCTCACCTTATTTCTCTAAAAGGCTACCTTATTGGTAAAGATTTCCAGAATGCCCGGAGCCTCACTCAAACAAAAGTATCGCACCTGTTCATGGTGCGTTGTGGCGATGACTACGTGGTTGTTAGATGGATTGTTTTCTTTGTTTTGTATTTTCTCTCTTTTTTTGTCAGATACTGCCCAAGTATATATTGTGCGGTTCTAGCAAATAAATCTTGTTGTAAGTCAGTGCCGCTGTCTGTCTCCTTCTTTCTCTTGTCCCTCGTTATTGGTGCTGTTTTTTTATGTGAATCATTTTTTTCAAGTTACTGAAATAGTTTTTACTGTCACATCGTTCAAACATTCTTCCGCCACATCATGTACAAGAAATGACACCTTTCATGACCATATTCTGCTTTAAGAGGCCAAATTTTTATATAATGAAGTTTCAGTACAACGAAGTAAACTGCTGATTTTATTGACTTCGCTACAACTGTAGTTCCAATGAGACAAAATAAAGCGAAAGCACTGCGGCAATTCAGTGCAAAAAAAGAAAACGCGTAATGAAAGTCGGGTCTACAAACTACACGCTCGCATCAAAGTTATCTGTAATACCCAACTTGCAGTTTGTAAGAGCTCTCTTTGAATAAATTTAAAGTGTATTCATCAACCTAACTTAGACGCTTACAAGGTCTATTAGAAGCGATTCATTCGCAAGGGTGAACTTATGTAACATTTTGGTTGCTCTGTTGCGCAGGCCTCTTTCCGGCAGTCGTATAAACTATTTAGCCGCAATTCTTTTGAACACTTATGCTTGCTACAGTGCTAACCGCAAACTAACAATAACTGGTAATAAACATACAAACTTGAGCAGTATTGATATGGAAATTTCTCACACCAGAAGGTTACGTTTCGGACAATGGTTCATATAGCGCTCTTCGCAGGGGCACAGCGGTGCAGGCCAAAGAAATCGCAAATGCGATCATTTATTTACCTGCAAAAGCTAGAAAATCAACAATATCGAGTGACGTGAAAAAGCGAGCGTAAGGTAAATCGCATTGCGTTTTAGCCCTTCACCTACCTCTATCCATGAATAGTCGTCACGACTGAGGCATGCCACTATTTTCAATAAATAACCACTGATCTGGAACCTGAGTGATTCAGAAGAGTCTCAAATGATTCTCGCAACAGAAATACTTTTCAACAACAATTTGACGGCTTGAAGGATATTCTCGACGCATGAAATGGTTCACAAGCGCTCGCGGAGCGATAAAACATTTTTACCTGTTTGTAAACACAAGGAGCGCCTGAGACACGTTATATTGCAACTGAAAATGGAAGATAGTTCTTTGAAGTAACACTGAAGCGAAAAAAGAAAGTTTCTCCTCTTTGTAAATCCCTATTCCCCTATACCAATAACATCGCACCTAGTAAGCGGGAATACGCGCGGACAGAAGAATGCGTTTTCTATAAATAAAGCACACCGTCTTCTGAGGGCCAAACATCCCAAGTTCTAGGAAACTTTGTTGAGACAATCTGGCCTAAATATACAAAAGTAAAATCTTTAAAGTCTGTGATGACACCATCGGAGATTTCAGCGAGAAGTATAAAAGCGATACTTTTGAGCCTGGTTTTCTCAATAATTAACAAACCTATGTTGGTGAAATTAACGACAACGCAGGTTTGAGGCAATTATTTATCCGTGTAAAGTAATGGATTGAATTTTGAAGTACATGTAAATCACATTCGCGTTAGATTATGTTGATTAAACTTTGTTTAATTTGGCCGTCACAACCACTTTTGTTGTGTCTCTCTCATATTTCTTAGTGATGTCACTGCCTCCGCCAATTCGGTGATCTATTTGGATTCTTAGCCCCGCCACGGTGTTCCAGTGGCTAAGGTACTCTGCTGCTGACCCGCAGGTCGCGGGATCGAATCCCGGCTGCGGTGGCTGCATTTTCGCTGGAGGCGAAAATACTGTAGACCCGTGCTCTTGGATTTGGGTACAAGTTAAAGAACCCCTGCTGGTCAAAATTTCTGGAGCCCTCCACTACAACGTCTCTCATAATTATATGGTAGTTTTGGGACGGTAAGCCCCACAAATCAATCAAGCATTATTTGGTTTTTGCACCTATGCGACTTGCATGTGGCAACTCCCATTTATGCTTATACACTGTTAACTTTACACAAAGCATTGCGTCATTTTGGTGGGATTAGCGATTTACAAAGGGCAAGCTCCTTGTCAGGCTCTATAGGTCCGGCAGATGGTACCTTCTTTTCCCGCTTCTTGCCAGAAATAAACTCCAACCTCAACTCAATTGAGCATCCCTACCTGGAAGATGCGCGTGCCTCGACCAGCTCAAGTTCAAACTCGACGGTTGAGAAACTGAAGCGTGGGCCCCGCATGGTGAAGAAGTCCTGGTGGCCGGACACCGGTATCTTCATGTTGTGTGGCAGCGTGAAGTAGTTGAAAGAGAGCGACATGGGCTCCTTGCGGCACTCGTCGTCCCCTTTGGCGCACTCACGCTTGTCTCGCTTGCACCGACTGCAGGATGAGAGAGCTACTTCTTACAAAAAAAAGCAATGCAAAAAACACGCACAACTGTTCGTTTTTTTTTTACTTATGAACGTCTGGTGTTTGAGCATGCATTGCAGAGATGAAAAAATTACCCCTGAACGTAATTAAATTAAGCCAACTACCAATAAGTTATTTCACAACAAACTAAACCTGACGCAGTACACGGACACATGCCTTGGTGTTTAGAGCGGCCATCGCTCAACCACATAACGTGCACGTGTGCACCCAGGCCACCACAAATTGAATCGCCCATATTGAAAAGAAACCAACTTGAGAGGCGATAGAAGTCCTGCCATGCTAGCGAGAATCGGGAGAGGGAAGTTTCTCTGCTCGATCAGGCCCAGATAGCCGCTACACACCATCGCCCTAACTGGACCTCAATCTTCCACCCTGGTTACAAACGGAATCTTTCCCGTCGAGAGCAAGGGTTGGTCCAGACACACTGCCCAGAGTGCCATGAATAGTATTGCTCACTAGTTAAAATGTTCGACAATGTTCGGCGTTAAAAATGACTGTCAATAAACAAGAGGACTGGGAGGAAGCCCTAAAAAGCGGCGATCTCCATGAACAACTAAGGGCTGTCCAAAGGGCCCATGATTGCGTGGAGGGCCATGGTCATCCGGCTTCAACTTGGGCGCGGCCCGCAACTACGGTTCTGTAGATACTTAGAACTCAATACTTGTTGACCGACCGACCATCTTCCTAATGTCTTAAAGTCAAATAAAAAAGGAAGGAAGGAAGAAATAACAAGAGAGAAGGCAGGGAGCTGAATTATAGGCACATGCCCTACTTGCTCCCCTACGCTTAGGGAAGAGGAATGGAGAGTATAAAGCTTATATGATGGCTTTACTCAATTGTTTTCTGGTGCAGCAAAAACATTGGAAATTACAGATAGGCGAAAGTAGTTATATTATGCTACTATGTTTAAAAGTGACAACAATACCTCAAAATGACATTAACTATTAACAACGGTTCATCTTTCATGAACTAAACTAGTGTAACACTTGCTTTACAGCATACATAATTGAAATTTCGGAGTCCCACGTTTGGGGTTCGGCATTACAATTACCTTGCCTTTCCTTTTTGGTAAATTTTTATGCTATGAAAAGGAAGCGAATATGCAAAATTTTAGTCCTGGTTAATTGGTAAATGACTTAGATTCATGAAATTAAAACGCACCCACCCACATCTTTCTCCTGACCCGCAGGTCGCGGGTTTGATTCCCGGCTGCGGCGGCTGCATTTCCGATGGAGGCGGAAATGTTGTAGGCCCGCGTACTCAGATTTGGGCGAACGTTAAAGAACCCCAGGTGGTCAAAATTTCCGGAGCCCTACACTACGGCGTCTCTCATAATCAAATGGTGGTTTTGGGACGTTAAACCCCACAAATCAATCAAATCAATCAATCAATCACCCACATCTTCCATTACACGCAAACAAGAAACATCACACTTTTGTACTTCAGGCCATTCGCCTTTTTTCTGATCATATCCTACGTCGACGCACCATGGTTCGAATTTGCCACTTCCTCGTTGCGGCTGATTTCAGTTTGATATAACACAGCGGCCACATTTCCAATGTGTCCCGCGTTTTTGATTTCCATATCGCACTTCCACTTCTATGCCTCTCACGTTCGATCCTTCTTTCTGATAAAATGAATGTGAAATGAATTGTTGCAGCTTGCAACTTTATCATATACAGAACTTCCATCAAGATGGTAACTCATCGCTAACATTAGTAATTCCAATGTAAATGTTGCGCCGGCTAGGTGTTTTTACCTCGACCAAAAAAGAAACGATGTACGCAGACGACAGATGCCTGACTGCCATTGCATTTTTATTTTTAAATGTGTTTTGTTTAAAGAAAACGTTTTGTGCCTGTTTTACACGCTGAAATCACAAGACGGTTTCTGGGGCCACCTTACAGCGCTAGACCAATTTTTTAAATTTTTTCGCGTCATTGTAAGAAGTAACACAATTATCCTGTTGAGATACTTTGCGAAATTTTGCTATCCCTGATATTTCTCAACGCCTAGCAACTAGTGTCCCCCAATGTTACGCGGATTTGATTGATATGTGAAGTTTAACGTCCCAAAACCACCATATGAGAGATGCCGTAGTGGAGGGCTCCGGTGATTTCGACCACCTGGGGTTCTTTGACGTGCGCCCAAATCTGAGCACACGGGCCTACAACATTCCCGCCTCTATCAGAAAAGCAGCCGCCGCAGTCGGGATTCGAGCCCGCGTCCTGCGGGTCATCAGCCGAGTACCTTAGCCACTATAGACCACCGCGGCGGTGCCCGCAACGTTACGCTTAAACAGACGCAAGAACATTGAGATGCTGTTCAGCGTGAACCATGGTACGGTAGAGCCACCAGAAAGCATTAGCCCGCGACATCGCCACACTAGGCTGTGTCGGTCGGAGTCATTGACTTGACTTAACGATTTCTCGCTCGTTTTAGTTTGTTTTTTCACGGAGTTTAACTTTTGAGAGCGACTTAGGCTCTGGGTAGTGGAGGGCAGTTTTTGGTCCCATGGATTTTTTTCGTGGCCTCTGACATCGCGTATTAGATGGGCCACTAGCGTTTTGCCCGTATTAAAAAGCGACCGCCAATGCTGGGCTTCAAAGTTACACGCACTTTTGGACAGCAGCTGAGAAGCGTAACCAGAAAGCCACCACAGAGGCTTTTTGTTTTTTTTTTTCTCTGAAGACATGTATTAGCAGAAGATTCTGTATGCAACTAATACTGTGCCTAGCGCAGCAGAAAACTGGACACAGAGAAGAAAACACGGGTCGGACAACTGAACTTTACGGAAAATTGCCCTTCTCGGTGCCTAGTTTTCTGTGTGCTAAGCCGCACCATGAATCCATACCAGCTCGCCACTTCACTGCATTACAATGTCCAATACAGGAATGAAGTGATAGTCAGGTTAAGCTGCGCTATTATACTGAGGCCAACTATTTTCTCAAGTTCTTTCTCAATGTGCACATTGGTTGACGCATGACGCTTCCCTTGTATAAATCAGAAAAAGTTTAACTTTTACCATTCACTTTTTATGTGACGTGCAAAAAAAAAACTGCAAGAAGGGGAGATGGAAGTTTGCGATGAAAAAATCCGACAACAGGGGTTGAGTGCATCGACAAATGGACGTCTATTCTTCAAGGTTTTAACTCTAGCACTAAAGAAGGGTTCTAGCCTTGAAGAAGGAAAGTCCCTTTGTCGAAAGATAGGCTTGTTTAAAGATGTTTGCATCTTGATCTGAACTATGTGAGCGGTTCTGTCAGCTGCTTGCTCGTTCGGGTTTCATCTCGATGTAATGACCTTTGCGCGCATGGTAAGTCTTAACGGTTCCTACGTCTTGTGGTCGGCGTCCCTGTAGTATCCTGGTGGACAGTCCAGTATGTTGCATCGGTAGCCTCCGCGGGTGTTCAGACACACCTCGTTTTCACCCCGGCAGATGTCGTCACGCTCGCATTCGTCGACGTCTGCGCAAATTGCAGTCAGGTGAAACACAGTCAGGGCATGAAGTAACATATTAGCGTGCAATCATTGAGCGCGAGAGAAACAGTAACACGATGCAAAGAAACGTGGTGCGGCTAAGCGAATATAGTCTCGGATCGCCCGAAGAGAAGTCTGTCGGCATATAAGGAACGAGGGTCAGAGAAATAACCACTTATAGCACAGTATTTGCAGTGGTTGCAGATACGTGTCATGCCCGTATACATGAGTGAAAGCTTTGGCGCGGAAAACCGCAGTTTGGAAGCACTGGCCTAGAGCTATTTGTCCTAACAGAGAACCCAATAGGGGAAATATATCGAGGTGCCCGTTATATTAGACAAAGCAAAATGACGCAGGGCATGTTTGCTCTTTAATTTGTGAGGCAAATTCGTCAATAACCAGAAAGCAAAGTGAGCGGAAACACAACTAGCACTCGGCCGATGACGCAAGAACCCACAACTTCTGCATTACGAGTGGGGTGCACCAGCATGGTGGTTGGCCGTCGAACCTTCGACTTCCCGGGTTTCAAACCATGGGTGCGTTATACGCATACAGGAAATATTCGTCACAGCAAAAAAATGGCAGATCCCACGTACAATGGGAATCGATTATATGCGAAGCACCAATGAGGAAGGTTGATATGTCACTTTAAATTCAGCACAACTTAACGAGGAGGACGTAAATAATGCCGTACATGACTTCCATGTTATGATTATCATGATTGTGCCCGGAATTTGTGTTCGTCGTCCTTTCACGTCACGTAATACCAAATTTAGTATGTGTGAAGCTAGTGAAACAACCGCGAGCGCGCTTTGAGCGTAGCATGTAGTCATATTTTACATAACACGCATGTCATGATTATTATGTTCGGACGTGTCATTTACCTCCGTCGTCCGTCTGCGTCATGTATAATACCAACTTTGGTATATGTGACGCTAGCGAAACGACCGTGAGCGCACCATGAGCGTGGCGTGTAGTCATGACTTAAAGGGCATGCATGTCATGATTTCCACGTTAGGGTCGGTCACTTATGTTCGTCATGCAGTCATGTCGTATACCAGTTTTGCAATATGACACGTGAACGAAACCACCGGAAGAGCCGCAAGAGCATGACATGTCAATCATTACATTCACCCATGTTATGATTTTCATGTTATGACTAGTTACTTATGCTCATCATACATTCATGTTACGTCGTTCCAAATTCAATATAAATACCATTATCGAAACGTCCAGGAGAACTAAAGAAGTCACAGCTTTGCCGCAAAAACGAAGCAATGAACTATAGCAACAAATTGGAGTCACGCGAAGAATGACAAGCAGTTCGAAACGTGCCCCACGTTTCTCATGCAGAAATGACGCACGAAACTTACTGACAGGCACAGATGAAAGCGAATAAGCGTCTTAGTTGTTACTTCTGTGTGTCTGAAAAGCGTGCCCTTTTCGCAAACGGAGACTGTGCAGCACTCGCTCGCTGGATTCCGTGCCGACTGGTTGTCCCCTCGCGATCTCCGACGTCAGCATAGCTCTCGCCAACTGGGCTGGCCCTACGTCATCTCCTGACACCGATCTCCGACGACAGCGTAGCTCTGACCTACTGGACGTGCCCTACGCCATCTCCTGACGCTGACAAGAGCTCTTGCAAGTGGTGCCCCGTCCTCGGACTTCTGTGACCGTGTTTCCATCTTTCCTATCTCTCCTATCCCCTCGATATGTCCTCGCTCGATAGATTAGCGCATCTCTCTTTCTCTCTCTCTCTGCACCTTTATTCCTATCCTTTTAATCCCTCCTCACCCCCATCCGCTGTGAGCTACTGTTGAGGTGTCGCACACTGATGCAGACAGTTGCGGGGTTCACTTTTCTCTTCTTTTCCCTCTTATAACCACTTCTCTATCTCGAGTACAGTGACCTTTGAGTGCCCGGTAATACAACAGAATCGTTCCGGTAAAAGCCCAAGGCGTACGATACTCCCCACCACGAGATAAGCGCGCGCATGCGTGAGCGTCTATCCACCCCCTCTCCGCGGGGCAAAGTACGCGTGGGAGATGAGAGCGCGTGGCGCCACCAGCGCCACCACGTTCATTGCGCCGTCTCCTTAATACTAATAAAAACACGATAATTCCCCGAGATGCCCATCGCCAGCGGTAAGTGGTAGATATAAATAGCTTGCCGTTTCAACGTTGAAGGAGGTTCTCCTTCGTGGCTCAGTGGCTAACGCCTCACGCTCACAATCAAGAGGTGGGAAGCCCAACTCTGTGCGCCGGAGTCTTGTTCTGGATTAATTTTCTTGCTTGCGTTTTGATACATATATAGATACGTATACATATACGGTGAATGACGGCCACACCAACGCCGGCGGCAAAATCCAGCCGAGAGTGTCCATATAATTGCTATCGCAATAAATGCCGCAGGTGGCTTTTAGATAGAGAGATACTGTCAAAGTCACCTAAGTTCGCTAAGCAATGCTTCAAATTTACGAAGTGTCCCTGCTGAAGGTGCGAGTCTAATTGTGACAAAGAATCTTGTGTCACAGTTTTATCGGAAAATTCGTTCCAATCCGCTATCCTCCTCGGAACCGAAAAACACTTGAAATGGTTGACACGTGCAGTAAAACGCGCTTTTGCGCTTTTCACTACACGTGAGAACGGTACGAGTAAGCGCTACATTAGCTTTCCGCCTTAGATGTACTACTCATTCATTGTATCAAATACGTCACGTTCGCTGAACAGTTTATCAAGCCTTAAAAAAAGTGCGCAGGAATACGCCTTCTAGAGAGAGCACAAGATAGGCAAGTACCTTGGCAAGTCCTCTTGTCATTGTGAAGCACATATCCTTCGGGACAGGTGCATGAATAGGATCCCGGTTCGTTGACGCAGGTGCCGATGCACAGGCTTCCCCGACCTTTCCACATCTCACATTCATCCACGTCTGCACACAAAGAAAGCTCAGCACTTCTCGTCAAACGATCTTAATCATAGCATTAAACTATTTTGTATTGTCTCCCTCCTAATTCATATGAATATAGCACACCACAACAAGGGCAAAGAAGACACACACACACGCACACAGCGCTAATTTGCAACTCGAAGTTGCAAGTTAGCGCTGTGTGTGTGTCTTGTGTCCTTGTTGGGGCGCGCTAGACCCATACGATTCATGAACACCAAGCGACTATCCAGGCAACATGCCTTAGCGAATCTCGATCTTAGGCTTATCTGAACGTCTTATTTTATAAGTGCATTAAAACGCTTTCGACACCAAAGGAAACTAAAAAAACTTGCCATAATTTACTCTAGTAGAACTCGCTGTTGGGGTAGTTTGTGCATGTTTTGATTCAATAGTCAACGTCGCGCCAAATGAACAACCACACACAGAAAGAAACACACAGACACCACGAGCCCTCACTTACAACTGTTTATTCCTTGAGGAAACAGGCTAATATAAACTCATCCTTCGTCAACGCATGCAAAACAAGATCAGCCTTTCTCTTATTTAACCACACTATCGGACACATGCCCTCTAGATAACGTGTTTCTGACTCATGCAGGTTTAGTGACCTTTCGCGAACAAACTTATTACCCCGTTATTTTATGTGATATGCCTCCAAAATGTTTCCGTGCAAACTAATTTGTACTACTTCCCAGGATCCTAATCTGCGTGAAGTCCAGCTGGTGTGCATACACAAGCTGTAACATGCTCGCTTACATGCGCACCATCCTTATTCTTTACCGTGAGAGCGTGTTCCCTCGCTCGATCAATGACGCAGCGCCCCGTGTGGCCGGCATGGCTATTCCCGTCTGATAGGGGAATTACAAAAACCACTCCAGTGACGCACTTCGTGAACAGCCACGCATGCTTCTTTTCGCAGCCTTTCAGCTGTTGAGCATGACTTCCATTGATGCGAGGGCACAACTTCGCCAGCTTGTTTGAAGTGGTGAACACCAGCGGTACACCATGCCGACTCGCCACCTTTTTTAGGTTGTGTGAAACCTTATAAATATAAGGTACCACTTCCGGCCGTTCTTTATTCTTTTGTGCTTCAGCCGGGCCTTTCTTTACCTTCTGCAGAAGGCATTCCACGTACAACCACATACAAAATCGAGCAAGGGAACCCAGCGACCTTCAAACTATCTAATTGTGCACTAAAACTAGACCGCATTAGATGCGGACACGACTTCTGAAGTGCGGTCACCAGGGAAAGCATTGCAATGCCCCTCTTCACGGTTTTCGAGTGGGCTGAACCAAAGGGTATAAGCTCCTTCTTCGCACGGGGTAAAGAAACCAGCAAACATGGTGGTCACAAAGGGTTAATTTTAAATCTAAAAACTGCAAGAGTTCATTGTCAGGAAGCTCATGTCTAAAGGACAGGCCTTGGCTGCTCTGTCGAAAAGTCTTTAAGACATTTTCTACCATTACTTGGTTCGTCAAATCATCCCGTTTTTTTAGTAAGATCAGAAAATTGTCTACGTATCTAAAGACTTTAAAAACCATGTCATTGCTAAAAACCTGCTCAAGTTTTTTGTCCACCTGTGAAAGAAATTGTTGCATAACAAAGGAGCAACACATGACTCGATACAATTTTCTTGACGCTGCATATAAACTTTACCCTCATATGACACAAAGGTGGAGGCAAGATAGGCTTCCAGCAATGATAAAAACCTATCTGCAAGCATGCATACTGAACCTTGAAAGTCAATATTTCGATGCACATCAATACAGGTCATCACTGCCTTAAAGAGAGCATCATGTGGCACAGAATTAAAAAAAAATCCTCTATGTTGTCTGAGAATGCAAAACCAATATTGTGGTTATCCTGGAGCCACTCAACTATTCAGACTTCTTGATCAGGAACGCATCAGTAACACTAAGCAAGTTGAGCTTACTTGTCAGAAAGCGGCTGACGCTTCTTTGCCACAATTCTTTCTCACTTACAATCACCCTAAACGGAATGCTCGGTTTACGCGCCTTTGCCGTGAAGAAAATATCGAGCGCCTCCCTCTTGCTTCTAGCTATTTCTTTCGCCAAATCATCAAGCGAATACCGTCTACACAGCTCTAACATCTCCCCCTTGGCTCAGGCCCCATTTAGCTTTACTGAGACAAAGCTCTTCATAGCAGCTTCTCTAGCTTGTCCACGAAGTGTGCCACTGGAGGGGTTTATGAAATTCTCCTATCGGACGGGAATAGCTATGTTGGCCACACGGGGCGCTGCGTCAATGATCGAGCATGGGAACAGGCTCGCATGGTAAAGAATAAGGACGGTGTGCATGCAAGCGAGCATGTTACAGCTTGTGGATGCACACCAGACTTCACGCAGATTGGGATTCTGGGAAGAAGTATAAAAAAGTTAGCACGGGAAATTTTGGAGGCATATCACATTAAAATACGGGGTAATAAGTTTGTTAGCGAAACTTCACAAAACCTGTATGAGTCAGAAACACGTAATCTAGAGACTCTAGCATGTGTCCGATTGCGTGATTAAGTAAGAGAAAGGCTGATCATGTTGCGCATGTGTCGACGATGTATGGGTTTATATTAGCCTGTTTCCTCAAAAAATAAACAGTTGTAAGTGAGTGCCCCTGGTGTCTATGTGTGTTTCTTTCTCTGTGTGGTTGTTCATTCGGCGCGACTTTGACTATTTAATCAAAACTTGCCAAAATGGCCAAAATCATTCTCACGTACTTTTTGAATAAAACAGTACAAATAAAACGGTGCCTTTACTTCAATGAACTAACGTTTCTTTATTTTTTCTGTTTGCATGTAAAGATATTGCATACGCGGTATCAGAGGGGGCAATGCAATGAAAGGTGAGGTACAATGAGAAGAGCAGGAATAAAATACATTAAAAAAGTAAGGGCAAGTGGTGCCATATCACACAAAAAACACAGCTACAACAAATATCGTCATAATTGGTTCCACCTGCGACCATTTTTTGTCGATGACGAGTATGTCATCATTGGTCATTTTGCTAGAACCTCTAACGAGAACTACACTCGTCAACGGTGACGATCATAGAGTTTTCTAAAATTAACTGGAGGGGACTGTCACCGTGCTTGTTCAGCGACCATGGGAATGATGGGTCGTGCACGGATTTGCGTAGTCTTCGTACTTGCGGGCGGTGAATCATACTCGCGGCTTCGCTTATTTTTGGTTTTGGTTTGGCTTTGAAGTAAAGAACGAACCCTTTTGAACTTCGTGACCCGATTCGAAATGGTAAGCCTTAAAGAATAAGGCGGTGAAGTGCAACCGCTTAACATTTGCTGTTTTTTGTTTAGCGAGAAAACAGTCCCAAGCCACACGAACACACATGGAGCCAGAAGCAGGCCAGAAGTACGAAGATTAGACAAATGTGTGTACTACCCATCATTCCCGTGCTCGCTGAAGCGCCATGCGTTGTATCTCCCGTAGACACTAGCGCAAGAGTTCCCTCTGGTGTGTATTAGGAAACTCTGTGGTCACGATATGGTCACGATGGACGTACACCTGCTTACTGGAAACAAATGACTCACGCCTCCACCTTCACCCATTAATTGTTGCCGCTGCTGATGTGATTATAGTTGATGTCCTTCTGGGCTCAGTAATAGCTTCATGTTGTTGGCAGAGATGCTGTGAAAGCACTATGCGTGCGCTAGATTATATAGTAATAAAATAATTGCTGGGGCTTACCCTCCGAAAACCACCATATCATTATGAGAAACGGCCGCAGTAGAGGGGTCCGGACATTTCGACTGCCTAGGGTTCCTCAACGTGCATCTAAACATGCGGGCGTCAATAATCTTCGCCTCCACCAAAAACTCCCCGCCCTCTTGCGGTTAGCAGTCGATCTCGCGACATGAGGGTGTGTTCTGGAATGCTCGAACACAGGTCGCATTCACATGCAGCATGACTTGTAGCAACCTAAATTGCTAGCGAAATCTTGGAAATTCACACTGATTTTGTTGAAGGGCAGATCTTTAGGAACAGTAACACTCAAAACAAGCAGCGTTCTTCATCAGTTCCGTATCTCGAGTTGCATAATTTCTACTTTTCGTGAATCATATATGAGATCTAACAGACAATAATGCCAAGGAATGTATAGGGGAAGTTATTGGAACAAATGTAATGTAAATAAGAAGAAAGAAAGGTGGGAGAAAAAATAACCAGCCGTGAGCAGGAATCAAACCTGCGACCTTCTAATAACGCGTTCGATGATCTAACCACTGAGCTATCACAGCGGCCTTCCCCCAACCCACTTTTTGGGGTTTATATGTGAATGTAAACGTGGGAGTGTCACGTGACAGTGTAAGTGTAATAAGTTCACGTGCTACGTGACGCAACACAGGCTTATAAAATGGTGTTCCACACTCGCCGCTTGGCTACAGATGGCGCTGACTGACACTTTATTTCTTCACATTTACATTACCAATCGGTCTGATAGGTTCCCCTATACTTTCCTTGGCAATATTGTATATATAATGGCCTCCTATCGCCCCATCGCGCTTGCCAGCTGTTTTGGAAAGGTGATGGAGAGAATGGTGCTGACTCGCCTGGAGTGGTACTTGGAACATAACAATATATACCCCGATGCTTTGACCGGCTTTCGACGAGGACGGTCTTCCATAGACAATGTTGTTGATCTTGTCACGTCTGTACAACAGCAGAAGAGCCTAAAGAGATTATCAGCGGCACTTTTCTTGGATATTAAGGCTGCATACGACAATGTATTACATGAAACCATCCTGGACGCCTTGGGCAGCATTGGATTGGGAGGCCGCGTTTACCAATGGATCTACAGCTATTCGAAGGACAGAACCTTCTTCGTTCAGACAGAAGATGGCGCAACAAGGCAACATCATACTTATCGCGGCGTACCTCAAGGTGGGGTCCTAAGCCCCATACTTTTCAACCTTGCGCTCATCGGCCTCATTGACGTCCTGCCACACTCCGTACATCTGTCGATATACGCGGACGACATCTGCATCTGGGCATCAGGGGTCACGCGTCTACACGTACGAGCCAGGCTTCAGACAGCGGCTACACTGACGTCAAACTACCTTCAAGGACGAGGACTGGAGCTGTCATATGAGAAATGCTCACTAGTTGCGTTTACGCGCAAGACAATGACGCCATACCGCATCAGAATTAATGGACACACAATCAGCTATCAAAAGACTCACCGTTTCCTGGGAGTAATAATAGATCGTGATTTGTCTTGGAGCCCTCATATCGCTTACATGAAGAAGAAACTGACCATGATCACCCACGTCCTAAGGTTTCTTGCGGGAAAATCATGGGGTGCATCGGTACGAGCCATGCTTCAACTGTATGCTACACTTTTTCTTGGCTTCATGCACTACAGCCTACCTGTGCTTGGCAAGGCCCGCATAACAAACGTACACGTCCTCCAGTCATTACAAACTCAAGCACTGAGAATATGCCTCGGGCTGCCGAGATGCGCATCCTCAGCAGCGACTGTCGCAATCGCTCATGAACACCCTGTCACAACCTACATTCGTGTCGATGCTTTAAGAACGCACATAAGACATGTCACCCGGATTCAATCGCATCACCTCGCCTCCCTTCCAACTTCCAGGCCATGCTCTGCGTTCTGCTCTATTATTGCCCCACATCGCACGGTGATTCCCACGAACTTCACGCACGCAGCAAGACCGTCGTTACCATTGTGGTGTCTACATCCACTGGAAGCCCTGATAACCATCCCCGGAATGCAAAAGAAGAAAAATTTGTCAAATTTGGCCCTAAAACAAACAATATTACTGTTTCTGCATGAGAAACACAGTGGACGCATTCACATTTACACGGATGGGTCGGTCACTTCAACAAGTTCAACAGGCGCAGTGGTGATTCCGGAGAAATCCATAACGATAAAGTTCAGGACCTCGCATCTGACATCATCCACGGCGGCAGAACTCGCCGCCATTCGTGCCGCTCTGGAGTTCCTAGTTGAAGAACCGCAACAGACATGGTCAATATTTTCCGACTCCAAAGCAGCTCTCCAGGGAATCGCCTCGCCATATCGTCATGGACCAAACGAACAGCTAATTGCTGAAAAACGACTGCTCCATCACCGAGCTATAGAGAAACAACATGACGTAGCGTATCAATGGATACCATGCCACTGCAGCATTGATGGAGACGACCGTGCAGATGAAGCAGCCCGAACTGCTCATGATGATGCCCCTTGTGTAGCTATACCATTATCAAGAACGGACGCCGCTGCAAGGCTTCGATCACTTGCACGAGAACTGACACTCGCTCAGTGGAATTCACCGGCATTCACCAACGTCCGCCTTCATAATTTGGACCCACACCTACAGCTCCGTCTTCCATCAGGAATAACCAGAGCAGAGGAGACACTTTTGTGCCGTCTGTGGATTGGGGTGGCCTTTACAGATGCTTATTCGTTTCGAATCGGAATGGCCAGAAGCCCGACATGTGACAACTGTGGCTGCGCAGAGACTTTCTCCCATCTTCTCTGCGAGTGTCCCCGCTTCAGCGTGCCAAGAAAAGAACTGTTAAAAGCTTTAGATAGAATAGACAATCGCCAATTGTTGGAAGAAAGGGTATTAGGACACTGGCCTAGACCGTCCTCTGCACGCAAGGCATTGAGAGCGTTGTTGCGCTTTCTGCGGGCAAGCGGTCTTAGAGACAGACTGTAAACAGCGTCGTGGATCGTCTGATGACCTTCCCTCTCCTTTTTTTTACAACGTCTCTTTTCTCTCATCTTTTATCCCCCTTAACCCCTTCCCCCGTACAGGGTAGCCAGCCGGTCTGAGAACTGGCTAACCTCCCTGTCCTTCCTCATTTATTCCTCCTTCCTCCCCCTTCCTTGTATATATATATATATATATATATATATATATGTATATATATATATATATATATATATATATATATATATATATATATATATATACACACTGCTGGGACGGTCGCTGCGTTCAAGCGCATCATTACGTGCATACGGAAGAAGTGCCTCTTACCCACGCATGTCCTCTGGTCTTCGGCGAGGCGGAATCCTTTCCTGCAGATGCATTGGTACGAGCCCCAGGTGTTGATGCACGAATGGTCGCATGAGTGTGAGTTGTCTTGGCATTCGTTGATATCTGAACGCGCCGGTAAGTACAGAGCATAATCTGTCATTGGTACTTTGAAAAATGAGCACAGAAGAAGCTAGTTTACTTCATACAGTGACTTAGCATAGCACCTGTAACAGAAATCTGGTAGAGTAGGCAAACCTCTGGTTTGTGGCGTGGTATTCTATCGAGCTCCTCTTTGGCGTGCCCGCATTTTAATAGGAGCAAAATGCAAGGGAGACATTCGAACACGACTGCACCGGGAGCATCCTTAAGATGTTTTTAATGGTACCACCCACTCCTTCAACCGCGCGGCATGGTAGCGTGTAATATGAGCGAAAAGCAAAGGGATGCAGTTAACGTTTCGCAAGCGCACAAAGCATACCTGTGTGAATGCCGTCTTATACGCTTTTCACTTAAATAGCTTTACACCCATAGGTGCACGTCCGCACAGAACGGGTGGGGCTAAAGGGCTTCAAATAAAGAACCTTGCGCACGCTTGTGGATATTCACGTCATCTGCGTGACCATGTGTTCAGGCGAACATTGTGAAGTTTATCGCCGTACTGGTGGCGGGTCTCCTATAGAGTGCAGTACCATGCCCTGGGGTGAACGTTCGTGTGGTATTAATGGAGAACTGCAAGGTTGTACAAGTCAGTGTGAAAGGACACGAAGATATGGTCCCGTAAACGAGTTCAACATAAAGTTCAACAAATATTGAAGCTGCGCATGTACGCCAAAACTGGGCTTTATGAGCGTAGAAATTGGTCGCCGCGCGTGAATAACTGCTTTGCTTCTTTTTATAGTAGGGTTCACAAGCTCATCTCGGGCATCGAGCAGAATATAGTACCGCTAGGGCTTGGTCAGGGAAGAGTGCAAGAGCTGGGGGGTGGGGGGAGGGGTGGCAGAGGGGTAGCTGTAAACACTGTCAGCAAACATTAACAATGTAAAAAATCTGATATCTCATAAGCGAGTCATTTATGAGAAATATTTGGTGGCAGGATTTCATTTAACAACATGTTGATACCGATCTCCAAGATGAATAAAATCTGGACACCGATTCGGAAGTGTAATTTTTGTTTCACGGTTACGCTTCAGCGCATGGTGACCACATCGGTTGCCTGGCAAAAACAACAGTGCCTTAAATCAATTGTGCCTGTGTATCACACTGACGTACATTTGAAAATATATAAGGAACGAATATAGGCATGTTCGCACCACGGGCAGCAAGCGAGAGGTTCGCGGGCCACGTGTTTGACTTCATAATTCGGATCCTCGAAAGATTGACAGTGATATCTCGCTCCAAGAAATCAACAAATTTTGTTTGTCCCCGCCATGAAGTTCCCTCGTAATTCAATTCAATCGTGCCGTAGAAGTTCAGCCAAGCTTTACCTATGCAGGTACGTTCATCGTAGCCCGTCTTGAATCCAGGATTGCAGTCACACGTGTAGGAACCCGGTGTGTTAATGCACTGGGAGTTGACGGAGCAGACTCGGCCCGCAAAGCGCGTGCACTCGTCGATGTCTGCGCGTAGAGAATAAACTCGTCAGTCTCATGCGGGAAGGACACCCGGGACAACAGTTGATGCTAGATCATTGGCCTCGGCTTTTTTGGCCTGAAAAACAGTAGAAGGGGCAATCCAACCTTTACCTTGTGAAAAGCTGATTTATTTCATGTTTACTTATCAAGGCAACCTGAGGCCTATTTTAGGCGAAAGGCAGCAGGGATGAGCTTGAAAGTGTAAACACAATCCGTCTGTCCATTCATCCATCCACCCACCCACCCACCATGGGATGCAATGAACTCGAAAGAAGCAAACCCTTATGTACTCTTTCGAAAAGAGTTTTGCGTCACTTGCAGAGAAGGAATTCGTACTGTGGTAGCGGCGCCAAGTGCAGCGCTAGCAGTTATTTTCTGTTATACCCTCTTACGTAGCTTTGCGACAAATATGCTCAGTGACTGCACTCGCGAAGACCTACACTTTTAGTGCGTAACCATGCTATGAGGATAAACTCAGCAAATAAAACAATACAGCTTTATTGTTAGCCCTGCTGACTCGACACTTGGCCCTCATAGCCAGAGAACATTATAGAAAAAAAAGTTCTGTGCTTTTTTTAGACTCACTGACCTTCACAATCCCGGAAGGAGTTCATGCGGAACCCGACGGGGCATTCACACGAGTAGCTGCCGGGTATGTTGTTGCACGTCTGGTTCTCCCGGCAATCGTGAGTGTTGGTGGCGCACTCGTCGATGTCTGCGGAGTCGTTGCACGGACAGCAGAAAACAAACGGACACTGCCAATGTTGCCACTTTGTTACTATGATAAAAGATATGCGAGCTCGTACATTTCCATCTTGTTCACCTCAGCAAAAGGAACATGATATATCGAGCAGAGAGGGCCGAAGTTGAATTCACAGATGATATTTAGTATTACGAGACCCACTGTCGTGGAGGTCACCGAACATTTATTAAGGAGACTTTTTAAGCCCAGCGTTGAACCGTCCTTCGCGAACACCAAACTCCACGCAGCGTTGACGTCACCGCGCGTTGCCTAGCAACCGGTGGCACAGCTTTGCATTCGCGCCTGCTTTGCGAGCCTAGGTAAGGCTCCACCGCGCTCCTGCGCACTACAACGCATGCACTGCTACGTCACCGCGACGCATCTGCACTTCGCCCAGCCCACCCACTTCGACAATCCGCGCAACCAATTTGCTCCGCCAGTCGTGACGAGAATCAGGGCTGTCCAAGTTCTGCGCCCACATCCCCAGGGCACGTGGCGGGACACCTGCCACACGCAAGCGGAGGGCAAAAGAGCGTCGATACGCTCTTTCACCCTCCACTTGCATGAGGCAGGTGTCCTGCCCCGTGTGGTGCGGCTGTGCGGAAAGCGTGTGCACAGGAGCCGAGCTTGCAGGCCGCCTTTGACGATGTCTTGGAAGACGATCTTACGTTGGCCTTGCTCATTGCGAGGTCACTACAGAGCTACGCCGTGGACGTCAACCACGACGAACGGCTGCGGAGGGAGTCGTCGAAAGCCTTTACTGAGAAGTGGAACAGCCACATGCTGATTGAAGATTCAAAACTTGGGCTTAAACTCGAAACTCCAGCAGCAGCTAGGTACGGACCAGCTCCGCTTTGTCTTTAGTGAGGCGCCACCAGTGCCAGCTACCTCCGCTTGTTTTGTTGTTATTTCAATTGAACGAACGCCACAGAAGCACCACCATTTTGTTGCCTCTGTGGTCAAAGTAAAAAAAGCAGCTCCTATTTCATCTTTTATTCCTCTTCCCTGTGGCAGCGTGTCTCATAACCTGCAGAAAGTAAGACTATCTTGCTTTTCCTAATCATAGCTACTAACTAGATAAATACATGCCACTATTGCTCAGCCTGAGCGCATGCGATGAATCAGAAAACTAATACGCTCTATTGCACATTGAACGGTGTTTGTACAAAGGAACTGCCATGTCGTCATACAAACACGCATGACATAGAATAATTATTTTGCAATCGCCTGCATCAGCATGACATAAATATGAAAGCACACAACGGAGTACAGTGACTCACTGGATTTGTTTATCTTCATTTTCGACTTGATACTGTACTATTTCGTATTGCTTGGCCTTCTATTTATTCTTCGCTTTCCCTTTCTATTCTCGCTTATATCTCAATGTTCACTTCATTTGTGGCATATTATCTCGCAAATACCTCATTACCACAATCCAACTGCACTGAATACTAACCATTGTTTGTCTTCGTTTTGAGCTATACCGGATAAGCCTGGCTTTTCCTTATCTTTACTGCATAGCACGTCAATGCAAGGTGTCAACGGGGCTTTTCGGCAACGAATAATGCATGTCATACTACTGCTTGTCCTTCGTTTTAGTAATACCGCTGTATAGAACAAGGCAAATGGTTATTTATAAAAAGATACCTTCCCCCCTGAAGCATTAAAGGCAGGTTTTATTCAACCGCTTTGTAGTCCCAAGGACTCAATTTATAATGCCGTCGATGGCCTGCAATGCCGTACTGGGGCGTTGTGTTTGACTTTCGATAATTATTGCACATAGGATCCTATAACGACATAATTGATAGTCTACCTAAGCATCTTTTATAATGTTTCAGGTGGAGGCCAATTCGTGATCGCTTACCACTGGTGTTCAAGAAGAAATGTAGAATACTAGGTGCACACGTTTCAGCTGATTCGATATCGTGCCCATAAATGACACCTAGTTTGCCAGTTTTGGTTGTCATTTGAACTTTTCAAGCACCTCTTCTTTTTTAATGGTCCTAGGGTGTTGAAGATGTTAAAACCACATCACAATTACGGTGCGGGTAATGAATGGTAACATTTTTAATACATTTTCAGCACCTTCGGGCGAAAGAAGGAGACGAAAAGGTTGAAATTTCTCAGGAAACGGTGACGCAAGTTTCATTTATGGGCACAATATCGAATCATCTGTAACGTGCAACAACACTTAGTATACATCACTGCATTGTGCACACAAGTGGTAAGTGAGCATGCATCAGCCTTTACCCTAAATGTCATAAGAAGTGCTTAGGTAAACTATAGTTTAATTTTATCGTTAATTATTATTAAGAATCTGTGTATTCATTGCCAAAACCAAACACATCGGCCCAATGCTGTGTTGCAGGCCATTGATTGCGTTATAGTTCTGCACCTTGGAACTATAAAGCAGTTGAATGTAGCCTGTCCTTTAATCGCCCAAAGGGGAAGCTATATACCGTTCTACAAAATTAGCACTACAGCCATTTTGACGTTATATACAGCATTATCACTAAACCAAGCGACAAGCAGTTGCATGAGATGCATTATTCGTTGCCGAAAAGCCCTGCTGATACGTTGCGCTCACATTTAATGCAGTAGAGATGAGGCAAAGGCAGGCTTTCTACTACCTTGTGGCTGTGCAGATGTGAACTTCCTGCTTGTCTTACTAATAAACCACGCTACGCAGCAATCTATAAGCCATACTTTTACTTAAGCCACAACACTGCGAAAATTAGGCCTCATTATGTGTCAAAATTTTGTCTTTCTTAACCTTGCCACAATATTCTGGCAAAGTTTTTGCATCATTCGCTCCCAGAGCATATTAATAATTGAACATAGGAACATATAGGTAAACAAGAATTGTAAATATATTTGAGGAAAAAAAATTTCTGCTTTTTAGAGAAAACGCTGGACATGTAGTATATTTTAACTTTTCGTCAAGAAGAAAAAAAGGCTAAAATTAAATACATAATCTATCATAGTGTTCAACGAGTAACATGTTAATATTAAGGAAAACGTTGGTTCGTAGTAATTTCTTGAACCAGTAATTCTGTATAACTTAAAGCGCGACACATTTTCACATGGTTGCCCAAAGTTTGAAGCACCCTCTAGGCAACACAGACTTTTTTCTTTTTTTGAGAAATATAGCGTCTCAATACCTACGTCTGAATAGCCATGGTCGAAAATTGACCGGGTGCACTTGATATAGAATGACTTAGTATGGAATGAATGTAAGAGAAAGTGAGAACAGCCGATTAGTTCTGTAATATTGCGGCGCTTGTCACGTGCATTTTGATACAATCTACCGGCGCTATTTGAAGATACCGGTATGTTTGTTAACGCGTACCTAGGCACTGGTTCCCCTGCGAATTAGGCTCGAATCCCGGCGTGCAGCTGAGTAGGCTCTCGCAATGGTAGGAGCCCACGGTGTTGATGCACCGATGGTAGCGACCACACAAGCTGCGGTTGTGGGCGCATTCGTTGATGTCTGCGAGGAAACAGGAAGACGGCAATGGCGAGAGAGAAAACGGCGTCAGTTAATGGCATCTCAATGTGCGCAGTTCCCATTTCACTAGTGGTAGCCGGTTATATTAAAGTTTCATAGTGCGCGCTGCACTCATGCTTAGCCGCTCCACACTGAGTGGTGGAGATGTTAGCTAAGCGTTTTGCTCCTGCAGCAGGCATTTGTGCAAAAAGTAATTACGCAACTCGGGGCGAAGATAGCGAGAGGTACAAGAAAGAGCTTAGCTATCTTGTGGTTTTATTCTAATCACCTTACTGGTAGCATAAAAAATGCCACCAAGGAAGCCAATGACGAACTCTCTGGCCTACTGGCACCTCGAGAAAACAACTGCGACATCATGCTTCGTGAGAAAGACCAATCCGTATTACACTTCCTCTTTCGTAAACAATTTAGACTAGGTTTTATAGACAATCTAAGATAAAAGCGCTGTTCGTAATCACCCGATGAAACACCGCTCCGTGCTCAATGCCATTTCTTTTCGGACTCGAGCACCGACGGGTCCTTAGGGCCCGCCTCTCCGACTCCAGAACTGTTTTCAATAGTCCCAAGGAATTGTGCGGCAGTCTTTCATTTTTGTTCAGCGCCGTCTTTCTGCAACGCGCCTTCTTCGGCCTTTGTCGGCGTAAACGGTCATCGCACAACCGGCCCACGAGAGAGGTTTCACTTTACCCGGCAGCCCACTCCATCCTTTGTCTTGGTGCGGGAGTGACTGGCCGCTTTGCAATGGGAAGGCATTCGAGTGTCACTGTGCCGTTAGAATCCAAGCGTCATGAGCCATGTGCTTATAAACACCGAATGCAGCCCCCCCCCCCCCTCGTTAAGCTTGTAGGCTCAATAATTTGAGAAAGGCTTTTAGAAACAGCATAGAATGATCACAAATACTTCGCTGCCGAAGTGCGTCAACGCAAGTCACCTAAAGCAAAAGCAAGCGCGAGTTGGAACTGTTAATTTAGGTGTGTGTGTGTAGCTGAGGGTTAACCACGTTACTGCACAATAATGTAACCCGTCCGGTGCAAGAAGGGCCAGCCTCTCTCACCGTCATGTTGATTGCTATGTCATCATTGCGATAATTGTACAGACCTACGCAGTTGCCGAAGCTGTCACTGGTGTGTCCCGGCAGACAGTTCATGGCTTGGCAGCTGCCGTCATCCAGGCGGCGGCTCCCGGCGGGGCAAGTGCTCCTGACGCAACGGAACGAGCCCTCCGTGTTCTGGCACTCGAAGTTTTGGCCACAGTTGTGAATTCCCTGGGCACACTCGTCATCGTCTGAGATAGACAGAAGAAAGAGGAGTGGTGGCAAATGAAGAAAAAAAGAGCACTATGTCGCAAAATGTTATAGCATTCAATGATAGTACCCGATACGCATTCTTCTCACTCGGTGATTTCAAGCTGACATCAGCTAGTGAGCCACCGTCCCTAAATTTAGTCCCACAAGAGCCGGGACAGTGAAGTAGGCTCGAGAGTGTGGTAGGGGGAGCTTGAACAAGGTGCCAGCTGACATAATTTGAGAAAAGGCCTTTCCCACGTCTTTCATAAGGGTACAGACCTCATGAATGGCCGAAATACGGATGGTGATTCGAAATAAAGTTTTTATTTCACGTTTATGTTTCAACCTAACCTGCAAGTCGCGGGATCTAATTTTGGCCGCGGCGGCCGCATTTTCGACGGAGGCGAAAATGTTTGAGCCCTATGTTCTTGGATTTGGGTGCACGTTAAAGAACCCTACGTGATCGAAATTTCTGAAGCTGCCAACTGCAACGTCTCTCAATCATATGGTAGTTTTCGGAAGTTAAGTCCCGACATTTATTATTACATGTTTCAATACATGGCGACCTGTTGGGTTGCATCAAAAAAAAAAAAACGTGTGAGAGCAGTCGTGTAGACCACTTGAGGATACTCATTACGCAAAACATTTGGGACGAATACAATTGTGTGTGGTCGGGCTGCTGGCGGCAGGCCCACGGTACACCTGTTCAAAGTCCCTGTTCTGACTTGATCCCTCGAATCTCGTCCTCTCGGGACTCGTGAACGCAAGATCACTTTGAAACGTACTAAACTGGTAACGGACCGACGTCTTCCATTCATCCATTCATCAATTCCGTGTACCTGTCACATGCATAGCCCCTAGTCACAAAAAACGTTATCAGCAGAACTTTTGCCTTTTTCGATCGCGCTATCGTTACTTGATATATCTGCCAGGTAAAACCACTTACTTGTCACTAAAAGAATTGACGATTGCTGTTGAATGGTTCTAGAATCCATATATTACGTAAATACGTTTTAGTGCTTTATGCATGGGATATAATCTGTACATCTACTTCTGCGACAGCCTTAGTATGGGGCTGCAATCAGCATCCCTATTATCAGCCCTTTTTATGTCCACTACAAGACGGAAGTCTATTCCAGTGATCTACAATTCATTCGTCTTGTGCGAGTTTACCAAATTTCATTCCTAGGAAATGCTTTATTTTGCTACTACTAAGTAGCGGCCATGTTCGGCTATGTTTTCTATTCCTTATCTAGCAGCTGTAAATAAATAAACGATCACCACCTTATTCACAAAGTGAATATTAGAGGAGCTTCCTCAGAGATGATCGGGTAACCCGCGAATCCTCCGTACACATCTATGATCATATATAGACGTGACAACGTTGATCTCGGGTTCTCAACGCAGGGTGGCGAGCTCACCGCGTTGCTGCCTTGCCTTCTGGGGCGTTCATCTAGCCGAGCCGCAACAAAGAGCCTGTGTTCACAGCGTAAGCTCCGGGCGAATAGAAAGGAAGCGCACGCGCTGAGAGTGGTGTGGGCCGCCTTGAGCGCTGACGCACCATCTAGTGAGCATTCTTGAAATCACCAGAGAGGACGCCTTGAGTGGCAGCGCACAATCGAGTGATCATTTGTGAAAACACCGGAGAAGTGTACGCGCCGCCGTACAAGACACGATCATAAGAAGCTTGCCAAACAGGCTTCTAAAGCAAGTGACTACTAGAGCAGGAGTCCGACTCCACCAAGGCGCAGGCATATTGCGTTGAGTAATTCTAATTGATTTCGTGAGGGCAACCTACGCCAATAACTCCCTTTAGTTTTAGTGTGTCGAAGCCAGATCAACACTAACAGATATTGATATGTGGGGTTTAACGTTCCAAACCCACCATAAGATTATGAGAGACGCCGTAGTGGAGGGCTCCGGAAATTTTGACCACCCCAGGTTCTTTAACGTGCACCCAAATCTGAGCAAACGGGCCTACAACATATCTGCCTCCATCGGAAATGCAGCCACCGCCGCCGCCGGGATTCGATCCCGCAACCTGCGGGTCAGCAGCCGATTGTCTTAGCCTCTAGACCAGCGCGACGGGGCACGAGCAACAAATGCATGTCACGCAATTTGTTTCACGTATGCGCGTTCATTTGAGCTTAACATTACATCAGAGTCCATGTTTTGTCATGCGTCAGGGAAAAGAACTCATCACGTCGTGGTGATGCTTGTTTTCTTGCAACTGACGTCAAAACTGATCGTCTGGCACAAGTTGGTATTCATGGAAAAAGCTTTGCTGTAGACCAAACGTTGCTGCGTATAGCCACCTGCTTTCAAAATGTTTTCCGTAACATCTTTCTATACAGTAAACGGCATGTACGTATTTATTTCATCAATCTGCCAAAGTTTTTGAAACAATACTGAATACTCATTATGAAGTATAGAGCGTGCAAATACGGATGCACAAAATAAGAGGTCAAGGAACCACAAACGGTGACTAATAACTACAAAAAAGTGTGTATAACAGTGGCGGTAGCACAAACGTGAACCAATATCAATTAAATTGCAAAAAAAAGAACTTCAGTGCCTTTACTGTTATTTTTCATGCGTGCCCGCAAACGTATCAGATCGATATATTCGCGTATTGCATGGACATGCGCAAATAAGTTTTCATGCTCCGCCATTGTGCACCTCTTCAGATGTTAGTCGGCGTTTTGGATGCATTGACTTCTTTGTTGTGTCCGTGAATACTCACCAACGAGCTCGCCTCCCCGTTGTTGAATAGAAGAGCCATGTCGCGCTTACCTTCGCACTGTCCTGTGGCGGCGTTAACGGTGTAGCCAGTTCCACAGCCCGAGATTCGGACGCAGGTGAATGACCCGGGTGTGTTGTCACAGCGGAAACCAATCTGGCAGTTGTGGCCGCCATACTGGCACTCGTTCACATCTGGGCGTGCACGCAATGCAATCGCAATAAGTTTAGGTTGAAAGGGAATCAAGCATTGAATATGTACTGAAGGAAGCCATGCGCTTTGTATATCTTCCATGCGACAGGTGTTTGTCACCTAGTTCTCATCTCCAGTGTTCAGCTTACTACTCTCTCTCGTCATCAAGTTGAGAATTTATAGTTTTTTACACCCTCGTTCACTGTTTACGATGTCCTTTACTCACCAGCTACATGCCACCCATTAAACAAACATCCACCAGACATGACCTGTAACTGAACACGTCTCCATTTCACCACGAACAAATGCCTTTAAACACAATGTTTTTATCCACGCTATTGAAACATGGATTGCTTTGTCCGGCAAAGTTAGATCTTTACCACTTGACAAATTCATTTCATACATTACCAACAATTAATTTTCCTGCTCTCTACATATTCTCTTGTATTGCAATTTTTTATATTCTGCCTCCACTCCTACGATGGCATTTCAAGGCTGCAGTGTGTTGAAATAAATAAATAAATAAATAAATAAATAAATAAATAAATAAATAAATATGTAGGCAAAGCTATTGTCGCTTCATGTAAGAGAATTACCTGAACGACCATGATAGCTAACACTATCTGGTCGCCACACGCACCGCATTCGAGGTGATATGGGGTGGAAATAAGGTTAAACATAACGTCAAGTATATGCAGACCATAAAGTCAGGTAGCAAGTTTCATCGAATTCGCGACATTTACAAGGAAACAGTATTATATAGTGAACCCATGAGCGACTTCTTCAATATATTATATAAGCGTTTATGGAAGCTGTGAAATTGCATTTTAAAAGCCCAAGATTCAAGCACCTGTAACTCAGCAATCGAGAAGGGCATCACATTTCTCTAAATTTCACAACATATAACTAAAGCACACGTCTCTGATTATAAATTTAAACTATTGTGAAGTAGTTACGAATTTGTGGTCGGAATTTCACAATACCCTCGTACGCTCAACTAATTCTCATGAGGTGTACATTCACACTTAAAATTTGTATCTCTGAAATGCTCTATAGTGGAAGTAGTTTGCACAATGGCAGGCCCATATTTTTACTGCACACTTATAGACCTGCAACTTATGTGTGCTTCTTTGTCGAAGAAAATGTTTCTCACCCGAGTACTAAAGTGAGAAGTGACGATGAACGATGCCATTTTCTAACTAAACACAAAATCAGAAATACGAACAAAATGTGAAAATAACAGTCACAACAGACAAGCTCTCGCAAATGACTTTGCGCAATTCCAATTATATGCTAACGTGCGCACAAGTAGGCTAGACTGCTTATACACATACGCTTTCGGATTTGTATCATTGAATTGTTATCAATTTCGCATCGCACAATATTTTGAGGAAGCTGTGTGGGCAGGAACGACAAAAACCAATGAAATAGCCCATTTAGGAACTCGTGAGTGCTAAACAAACTTTTCAAGCTTGCCTCTTACACTGAATCGGGTGAAGAGCACGCCAAAAGAAAGATGGTGTACATGCAAACGGAATGGTTCGTTTGGAACATGTGCATGTGCTGCCATGTATATTTCTTTTTCACCATGTATATTTTTTGCCTTTTTTCCAATCAGTTACAAATGGCCACCACTGTCGGGGCATGTGCACATGTCCTCTAATTCTCGTCATGGTTCCTACATAAACGTTTTGACAGCAGCCACTCAGTTGAACCTCCATTTGAGATATGGCAAGCCACAGACAGCACTTGTATTGCCTGCACACTCGTGCTGCAGAGTGATGACCTATTGTCATTATTGCATTGCGATAGGAATTAAATGGACACTCTCGGCTGGATGTTGCCGCCGGCGTACCACACCTTATATACAAACACGTATATATATATATATATATATATATATATATATATATATATATATATATATATATATATGAAAACGCATGAAAGAACAGAATTCAGAACAAAAAGACTCCAGCGCGCGGAATTTAACGTAATCACTGAGCTACCGAAGAGCACGTATTTATATCTACCACTTTGTTCTGCTGGCAGGACTCGGGGGGAACTATCGTGTTTTCAGCATTACCAGCAAGATGGCGCAATGAGCGCGCACGTCACCACATCGCGCGGCGGCGCGTGCGTTGATCTTCCACGCGTACTTTGCCCCAGTTGGAGCAGAGAGGCGAGGCTCCCTCGCACACCCTTATCTCGCGGGGAAAATCGTATGTCTTGGCTGGCCTCAGGCTTTACCTGGAACAATTCTGTTGTAGTTACCGGGCGCACAAAGGTCACTGCAATCATTTAAGTCTTTGCAAAAAGTTTGCGCTTTCTAGGCACACCGAATTAACAACCGAGACGTTTATTCGCGTTCATCTGTACCTGTGAGTACGTTTCGTGCATCATTTGTGCGTGAAAAACGTGGGGCACGTTTAGATCTGCTTTCCATTTTGCGTATGCCCTTCTAATTTGTTGCTATCGCAATCATTGCTTCCCCTTTGCGGCAAAGCTGTGACTTTCTTCTCTAAAGCAATATATAGCAATGAAGAGGTGCTCACAAGGACAGCCTCAAGAATATACATTCAACCATGTCCGCATGCTTTAAGGAGAGTGCTGGTTTGGTTTGATGTTCACCTTATTCAGTCTTGATCTGGAAGTATAAAGCAAAGTGCTAAATCAATGTTTACGCCCTTGCCGTGGCCTTTCCTCCTCGAAATCCACATCACGCAAGTTTGAAAACGGACCACTTACGAACATGCTTGACAGCTGAATGGACACGTGATCTACGAGATTTAAAAAAAAAGATTAAGCTAGCTTCACCCTAGCAGTGGAAGGGCGGAGCTGGCCAGTCTTCTTTTCCGCTTTCATTTTGTTTTCCTCCTCTGTTTCTGTTTCTGCTTTCAGTATTTTTTCGCTTTTTTCATTTATACTTTCGTATCTCGTTGTCAGTTTTTCCTCTTTTTTTCTCTTTTAACTTTATTACATAGTTTATCGCTTTCCTCTTTATTTCACGCTTGCTTCTTTTTTCTCTTGTTTACACGGTTTCTGCGTTACGCCAAGTAAACTGCCGATTCGGATAGCCGATTATCATCAAGGCAGCCGAAGAACGAGAGGAAGAAGATTTTCTCCTTGGTGCAAGCATGCGTTCAGTATGCTACTCATAGAGCGTTACTCCAAGTGACAGCGACAGCACACGACACCATAGGACAGCCCGGCCCCCTAAAGCGTTTCGCACTCAAAAAAGAATCGCTCGCCTTGGCATGTTCCCGAGACCGAGTCACGCTTGTATCCGTGATTGCAGGTGCATTCGAAGCCACCGTAACTGTTGCGGCACACCTCGTTGGGGCCGCACGGCTTGTCCTCCTGACACTCGTCGATGTCTGCGTCACGTTAATTTTTTAAAGAAGTATGACGTTAACTGAACCGAGACGACAGTGGTGACACTGCTTCAGTTCATACACAAAACAAGGCTTATAGCACGCGCATGATACACATCTGGCCGACAAAGCTGATTGAGCCATTGAAACAGTTTATTTCGACTTCCTGGCATTTTTTTCTTCTTCAAACGACTGTTATCTTAAGTGATCCGACATAAACTGAACATTACAGCTTATGACGTGGCGGTAGATTGAGTCAGCTGTTGACACAAATTAGGGCATGTGGCTACACAATCCCGGGCGACTGTTAAAAAGACATCTGACATGACATCTGAGAATTCCGAAAACCATTGTGTGGGTTGCAACATTACTTTATTTTGTGAATATTATAAGTGATTGCGTATGACGGACAAATTCATTCATGGTCTCTTGCATCAGAAAGTGGAATTCTGTCAATTGACTTACATTATTTGCTGAGGCAGACGTAACTTGGACGGTAAATCGCAACGTTTTTAGTAATTACAAACTGTCCTAATTTCATTTGTAAAACTTCGACACGCATGTTTAATCGCGTCGTCTATGCCAGTTTAAAGTGAATTAGACCCATTTAGCACAAATATTTTGCAAGCACCGATTTTGTGCAAACATGGTGAAAACAACTGATGCCTCACTGCCCTGCACCCCCACATTCAAAATGGAACATCTGTTTGAACGACTGTTCCCAATTCTAACCTATATTTTCGGTACTTTCTGCATTTTAGGCAACGTTTGAAAGCAATCATTATATTTACTTTGTACCTTGCGGGATCTACACCCCGAAATTGAGGAGAAATCACCACCATATTGTGGAGGAACGGGTACGCTGCGGACCCGGAAGGATGCTACCATCGGCATGCGTCGGTGGCGGAGCGGGCGAGTCCTTGCCGTGACGTCACTTTACAGAGACTGCAGCGACGTCAGTGTTCGTTCTCGGGGATAATATAGCGCGCGAGCAGCCGGCCTTGCCGTGCGGGGTGACACCTCGCGGGAGTTGCGGGCTTTGACGGGTTGTGCCCACGAGCACGCGTGGCCTAATATACTTACTGATCTGCTTTACAGAGGTAACACCTTGTAACATGCGCTTGGTTAACCGATGAAGCACGCTCCATAAGGGCGCTTTAGTCATCTCGATTACAGAAAAGGCGTTTCGACTGATCACACACGCCCGACAAGGCACGCGTCATCTATTGAAACACGTCATATTTTGGAACGCTTGCACTGCAACTGGACCAACAAACCTTTATGCAATTAAAATGAAATTTTTCGCTACACGCGAATACTCCCCACACAGGCAACGTAATACAAAACAGGGATGTTGATATTAGTCCATAAAGTAATTGCATTACTAATTACTTTTGTTCAAATTTTTCGACGCAATTAAACTATATTGCTCGCTAGAGCTATCGAAAGTAACGACTTTAGCACAGTACTATTACTTTTAAAAGTAATAACTTTAAAGTATTGCTTTAACTGAAGTTATTCATGCAACTTCATTGAAGACTTCGATTGCGAGTGCTACGTGGCTTTTCTGTTGACCTGTATTGTTCTCCGTTTGATGTTAATCACTCAGGTAAACCCATCCTTCTTAATTTTGTTTCCTTTTTTGCTCATTGTTTTGTGCCATAAGGAGGCGGTCATCGTGTATTTTAGTCCAAAGTGATTGGCAAATTATACGCCAATTTTATCGAGATTACTCTCTCAGAGTAATTATTCACATTACTAAATTACCAGCTACCAGATGTTACGCATTAATCACAAATTACAGCAAAAGGAAGCAGTAGCGTACCATAATTTCATTGCTGTCAAGCTTGATGCAATCCACTCAGCCAGTATCATCACCATCTTTACTACGCCCACTGCAGGGCAAAGACCTCTCCGTCAATAAACCTAGTCCTGTGCTTTATACTGTCATGTAATACCTGCAAACTTCTTAATCTCATCGGACTACCTGATTTTCTGTCTCCCTCTCACGCGTTTGCCTTCTCTTGAAATTCATTTATTTACCCTTAATTACTAGTGGTTATCCTGCCTACGCGCATGCGCTACATGCCGGCCCATGTTTTTCGGTTTCAACTACGATATTCCTGACCCCCTTTGTCCCATGACTCAATCTGCTCCCTTCCTGTCTCTTAAGTTTAAACTCGTACGTTTCCTTTCCATCACTCGCTGCGTCGTCCTCAATTTAAGTTGGGCCCTATTTCTAAACCTCGAAGATGGTTTTACCTAGATTGAAGACGACGCAGCCACTGCCAGTTCATGCTGACCCAAATATCGCGGGATCAAATCCTGGCCGCATATTCTATCAAGGCAGAAATTTACTTAGGTTTAGAGCACGTTAAGATAGTCTAAATTTGTGGAGCATTCCGCTACGCCGTTCCTTTAATCATATCGTGGTCTTGGAACGTTAAGCCCCAGATAGTATCATTACTACTCTGCCAGTATTTCGTGTTCTTTAGAATTTGTCGTAAATGCCAAAGTACCTCTGCAAGCTCCCGTGAGCGGATCGGTGCGATAACCGGCACCGCACGTGGGGTCGCCTGGACTTCCCTTGGCTCCAGTGGAGCTGGGAACCGCGTCGGGACGCCTCTCGCACAGGTAGCTGCCCCTGGTGTTGATGCACTGCAGGTGGCCCGTACAGCTGTGCGTGTACTCTTCGCACTCGTTGATGTCTGCCAGGGAGGGAAGCAGCTGAAGTCATCCATATGCATTACTGAACAGGGCTTTACTGCAACGTTACGAAGAACGACATTGGACGGTAACTCGTTTCGTAAGAGTTGCAACGACCAAGAAATGATAAACTCACAGGGTCCGCTATACACCCGCCTCTGTCGTAGGTGTGCGCGCATTAGAGGGCTAGGGAGCACCTTACATTCACTTTATAAGAAAGAGGGCGTTCATCCCCCCCCCTTCCATTTCGCACAATTCTGATCTCGTTCAAATGGTACGCGAATGCCATTTACTTCCGCTTAGTCGATGTATTGAACCTCTCGCGCACCCCTCCGAAAGCTCTCTGCAACTAACGTGGTTTTCCAATGCATCCAGGATCAGAGACATCGTAAGTTTTCCGCAGCTCACCTAATTTTGCACTAAATCCGGAATTTGACCAAGCAGCGATCTCATGTGATGACATCAACATGTCACGTCGTAAACACTGGCGATCTGGTATGCCTAGGTGACGTAATAACGTGACGTCAAATCGTGATGTCACCACGAGACTGAAACTTTGTGTGATTCGTGTTCTCATCGTCCACGTGCGACGCCGACACGGGTGACCGGTGTGGCCGCAGCGCTGGACGAGTGGTTGCGACTCTTAACCCGATGATCACGCGTTCAATCCGGGCCGCGGTGATTGCATTTCAGTGGAGGCGAAATGATAGCGGCCCGTGTACTCAGTGATGTCAATACACGTTAAAGAACACTAGATGGTCGAGCTCTCCGAGGTTCTCAACTGTGGCGTCACTCGATCCCATCATGGTTTTCGGACGTGAAACCTCATACATTGTAACTAGCAGGTCCTTGGTTAATTTATGCGTTTTATAAAGCGTCTAAGACTGCCGCCTTGTGGAGACGATTTTGTCATTGCAGCATATTGACTACTTTCCGTCTTGTCTGCTGTCATGAAGGCCCACCGGGCGGCGTATATCACCAGGGAAGGACCGAAATGCTGTTTTCGTACCACGTGATTCCAATCTCTGGAAAACAATACAGCAGACAAGCTATCTACTACGATAGCTACATAGGAAGAAAGAGCATGAATTATAGAAAAACAGTACTTACACGCGCCCTTCCCAGAATAGCACAATGTATATATTTATTGAAACGCGAACAAAAGCTAATGGGTCTACAATAGCCTGGCCAGGCCAACATGGTGCGTATCAAGACGGCTAGATTGATTCCTTTGAAAAGCTTTTCAGCAAGTATCGCACGTCTTTCCTAACATTCCGCTAGGTTCATAGTGCTAGAATGCATAACAACTTGTAGAACTGCTTGTGCGTGCGCGCTTATCTTTTGGTGTAGAGAATCGTGTGCCTTCAACTTAAACTGGAATGATAGCGTTCCAGTGAAAGAGAGTTATTCCAGACAGCTTCTGTTACACTGAACGAGCTGAATTACCCCTTTCTGACACATTCATTGTTCCGCAAAAATAAATTGCGAGTGCCACTAAAATAACCAATATAATTTCGTTGAGTGAAATGCGACTTAATGGATAATACTACGTTATCCGCAGTGTCGAGAGACTGGTAATTCTGAATCCAGGTCTCTGCCAACTTTACGTGCGTAACATTTCTGCAGGGTTGTGACTAACCGAGCTGGAAAATGTGGTATTAGAACGGAGACAAACACCGGGGATAAGATAGTGACGGAATGAATGACTGGGCGCTGAAGAACCACCGGCTTACTGCGGGTAAAGGCGATGTATACACAAGCTTCGCGCAGAAGACAAATAACAAACACGGTATTTGCGCCACGATAGAAAGTCATCGCATAACACACGAGGCCACGGAGTTTGTCTCGTTTTTAACGAATGGTCTCACAGCTTTGCAGAGAAACCGGAGGGTTAGTGTAGGAGCTTAGGCGCTTTGGCAGACATAGCAAGGAAGACAGCCCAATCATCATCATAATCATCATCATCATCAGCGCTGTGCACGCGTCGCCCTTCTTTGTGCCAATCTTTGCGCTGCGTTCCTCCCAAAAGTGCACTGACGCAGTTGTTTTTAGGGGTGATTGTATTATATGTTTCCCTAATCTTCGGTGTTCTTTGCTTGTTTTATTTTCTTTTTGAGTTGTGGACTGCTCAAGGAGTGGCTGAGCAGCGAAATAATCAGCCCCTTGTTCCCCTCGTTCTGTCCTCTATCTTGTCTCTCTCCATCCCCCGCCCCCACCTCTCTTCCCATCTCGTTTTCCTGCCTTACGTTCAATCACCGTTTGGTCTTCAGTGCTTTTTGTGCCTGTCCTGATCATTTTTGGCTGATTTTAGCACGTTGACAGCAATGCTGGCGCACGGAACAAGTTGCATTTGGCTTTTAAAATTGACTCAGGGCAGGTATTTAAGTGTTCAAAGTCACCTTCGCAGCGTCCAGTCTCGGCGTTCTTCCGGTACCCCGGTGAACAATCGCCGTTTGAGAGCGGCACACAGCTGAAAGAGCCCAGGCCGTTGACGCAGGTTTCGCCCCTGGCGCAGCTACTCAGTCCTTCGGCACACTCGTCAACGTCTGAAATCGATTAGAAGTTGCTCTCAGATTTGTACAGACGTCTACCTAAAAATGGGGAACACCGCATTCGAAGAAATTAAAAATGCGCAAGTTATAAAACGTTCTTGAAAATAGTGCAAACAAAAGCTGAAGAAATGATAGTGGGTTACTGACTTATTGGTCCTGAAAATTTTATTCAAATACTGTTTTCCGGGTTATTTCAACGCAATAATTTTGCTCTGTCTGCCTTTCTGTTTGTCTGTGTCACCAAAATAAGCCGCCCGGCCAACGTTAAAGCCTTTCCTCAACGCCCAGCCATCTTAGCCATCTCAACGCCCAGCCATTTAGTGGCGGCGCTCAGACTTGCGAACATTGTAGATCAAAAAGAAAATATAACGCATATCTGAGGTGCAACGTAAACACCTAAGTATTAGGTGATGCGTTTTTTTACTAAACATGCAAAGATGCGTAATTCTGAAAACCTTAGTGCTTCTTACGTTCCACTGAAATTGTGACACTATGCACAAGAAAACCGGCGTTTCCTACGCTTCGCTAAGACGATACGGTGCTGCCACCTACCAGTGGCTCCATATTCTACATAAGCTTTCGTCTCCCGTCATTACTGCCAGATGGCGTCTATATCAAGCTAGAAGGCAACAGTCTTCCAGCGACATTTGCAGCGAAGCACGCGGATATTTTTTTTGTAGATCGCGTAACACGTAGGATAAGCTTTTTTTCTCCAGTCGTCAAAATTATATTTCAACTAATACCAACAGAGTTTTGTAATTGTTTTCTTTTTGTAAAAGATACGAATAAACAGAATGTGTTTTTTTTAAGGAGATTGGATTCATGGCATCTGCTTGTTTTGATACCTAGTAGGAAAAGCTAAGTGTACTGAAAGAAAAGCAACTGATGTTTTGCTGATGGCTCAGAATGAATTGTACTGATTGCGTAAAGACTTTATCAACAAGGTGGGCAATTCTCTCTTCGTAATGGTTATGTTGACAAGCTGTTTCGTGCCTCTTTCTAAGCCAGTTGCGGCAGAGGCGTGTATGAATGACTACAAATTAAAAAAAATCCAACTATGCCCGCATATAAAAACGGAAATATTCAGCGATTATATATAATTGCTGGGACCTGTACGTAAGTTCGTAGCAGCTCATTGAATGCCTGAATATTTATGCATACGCTCTATAAATGAAGCTAATATATTGAAAAAATGTGCGGGGACTCCATAAATGTGTTCAGTGCATGGTTGTGAATTTGGCAATGGCTCTTCGAGTGAAGTCGATTTGGAGAACCTAAAGGCACAATGGCGATTTCACCGCACAGAATGCGTTCCCGTGCATCCTTCTAAATAACCACAATAACGTGAACGCTCGTGAATATTGTAGTTCATGAGAACTATACTAATGCATTTATCGAAAAATTTGGGGAATAGCGCAGAGCCTACATTCATGCACGCAGTGGTTTATGAATGGTGGGTGGGGAGCGGTGTCAATTTTTCAAAAACTCAAATTAGCAGGAAACCTCTAAGCGGGCTTCCGGGAGAGATATCTTAAAGGTCAGTGCAAGCGTTGTATAAACTAGTAAATATTTTTTATTAACTTGGTTCTTTAGAGAAAAAGCATTTCTTAACGACTAACGACATGAACTTTTTACCATTAGATCTTCCAGGCTCCTTTCGATTTGTTTAAAACACGTAGACATTTCTTTAAGAAAGAAAAAGTGGAACAAAATACATTTTGCCAGAATAAACCTTGCAATAAGTCTTTTAATTTCACTGAAATATAATTTTCGACAATATTTTGATTTGGTCAAGTTGGGTCATCTTTACAGTGTTCTTAAAACGTGCAAAAGTTGAAGACAAACTTTGCTTTGGTCTTGTTTTTCTTAGGAAAAGAAGATTGAAAGCAGAACACGAAATAGCTTTTGCAAAAAAAAATGCAGGCGACAAGTGCACCAGCAGTTCGTCATTGGCGCCTCAAGAAAAAAAAGTGGTGACATTTTTTTTCAGAAAATGATTGTCACGTTAGTAAATTGATCGCAATATATCTTGTTTTAACTGGTTGTACATGCTTCTACTCATCTGTACGCTATTTTATTATAACTAAATTTTACACTTGTAACAATGTCACATTATCTTTTGCACGATAATCTTTGAACAATCACCAAATTCTCAGAGCACAAATGTGGGATCTTCTCAAATAGGCAGCGGTTGAAAGATCACCTTCAGTCCTAGCCCTTTGTCTTCGTCTGTATCACGTTTTATGAACTTGGTCTGTTTTTTTTTTTCAAGTTTTCTGTTTTCCTCGGAAGAAAAAGCTGTGAAAAGTTTGCAACCTGGTGTCTGTGCAACAGCTTTACACAGAAACTACAGAGTCGCAAGTTGTTTCTTTCTTCGTGGCATAGTTTCCGGTCACTTCTAACTCGATTGGTCGTTCCACCAGGTGCCTCCGAAAATGAAACCCACCCGCGACGACAGCAAAGCGACCAAGGGCACAAGCTGTGAAGGAAATAGCAATAGCGTAGAGCAGGACGTGGCCTTATTATGCAGGATAATCCAGAAGGGCGAGTTAGCAGCCCCGTGCGTGTTGCGAAGCCATGAGATGGTTACGAGAAGACCTGCGTGAGCAGCGAAACGCTCTCACGTGGGCTACCCAATCCAAATGCTTCTTGCTATAGAGCAATATGCATCAAGAAGCTCCGAAGCACCAAGCCCGTGCTTCGCCACCCACGGCCGCCGGTTCAGAACGGCCGTGAAAGCTGCCCAGCCGAGAGTAGCCAGCACAACGGTTTGCGTCGAGGACTGAGGTGGCTCGCTTTGCGTACAGATGTGGGCAGCACCTTTGCATCCCTTGACCTGAAGATCGTAGCGCCAGCCTTCCGGGCAAGGCTGATAGCGCGCCTTGTTGACGCAGCGGTAGCTTCCCGGCGTGTTCAAGCAACGTGTTCCCCTCTGGGAACACACGTATCGGCCTTCGCTGCACTCGTCAATATCTGCAAGGACAGTGAGTGAGCACTGAGCATTACTTTTTAGTAACGTACACTTCAGATATGTTAAACGCATCGGCAACTTTTTGTAAGCATTTGCGAAAGGAAAAATGGACGTGGCCTGGGGACGTAGCGCGTAGGCAGGTTAGCCGGTTGTCATTGAGGATACCAGACTATTTTCAAAGAGAAGAAAAACGCGCGAGGGCTACACAGAAAGTTGAGTGCAAAGATGAAATTGAGAAACTTGCGGGTACAACGTGGCAGCAGCAAACACATCACAGGATTGGTTGGAAGAAGATGGCAGAGGCCTTTGTCCTGCAGTGGGCGTAGTTACGCGGATGATGATTGTTATGGTGACCTTGACGAGGATGCATTCGTAAATGCGCGCTAAGCCGCGTAGCCAGAGATTGGTGTCAACCTCACTTCAGGCACGTTCCTGCATGTTTGTGTGTGAGCGTATATTCACATATGTGTGCGATAATTTGGACGAGGAGGAGGAAGCGGGGAAGTGGTATTTAACCGCAACAACCACCCCCTTGCTAAGCCGCCGTGGTAATCCCATGTGAAACAAAAGATAGACAGTACGAATCAAATGGAAATGCGACTGTTGGTCTTTTATTGATTTAACATGCAGGGTGATATTTTACCTGGCAGTTTATTTCATAAATTTACAGCTTAGTGGTTGCCAGTGATACAATTTCGACAGTAAAAAACTAAGATTCTGATAACATTTTTTTGAAGAACGTACACGACAGAGAAATGCTTCGCATAACTTATTTTTCCAACTTCCGCAGTTAGAAGCTTACCCAAATACGGGTTATATCACACGGAACATGTGGAACAAGCGATGAAGCGGCTAATAACGTTCGGAAGATGGACAGCGTGACGTGATGCTATATCATTGCTGTATTTCTTACTACGACTTCATTATTAATGTACCAGCTTACGCGGTAGCAAAAGTGACATGATCCCGGTAAAGGCTTCATGAGAAATGATCCGATCTCGAAAACCGTACGCTTTGCTATCGCGTATACGGTTGATGAGGATTTCAAGCATAGTTTTCGGCGGCTTTATGATATGACAGGCCACCCTGATATTGCTATGTCACCAAGTAATTTAAAAAACAGTTTTAGAGCACACAATTAAGTGCTTCACCCCACACGAATTAAAAATATGATTTTTGTATTAAATACAGATAAACAACGCTTCAGTGGGGCACTGAACGGTATGCAGAAGGACGAGCTGTTTTCCACGACTTATTTTAGAAACGCGAATATTCTTGTCTCTGCGGTGGTCAAGCATAGGAAACACAAAGTCTCAGATGAAGCTCACCAGCGCAAGAGCGGGTGCTCTTGTTCATGCGGTATCCTTCCGGACAGACATTTCTATCCCGGCAGATGAAGCCGCCCGCTGTGTTGACGCAACTCTGCGTGGAGAAGCTGCAATTGTGCGTGCCTTCCCGGCACTCGTCCGTGTCTGTGTTGAGCGAAAAGCAAAAAAGTAATTTTGTTAAACTAATATAGAGGAACGCGACAGCGCAATCGGGCGTCACTCGCACAGCGTTCTCATGCCCTTGCCACGCCTTGCACCACGGTGAACACCTCAACCATTCCTCCGCGAACAAACGACGGACGTCCACGCAAAATGACTGCACTCGATTTTCGCTTAAACTTAGTATTTTAACATTACAACCTCAGAATGATCGTTTTGCGGAAATTCTGGTGGTTTCGGCATTGGTGGTTGAGCACAAAAAACCGTCGTTGTCATTGAGCGAAAATTCGAGACAGATGCAAGTAAATGAGTAACAAAAATCTTCGGTTAGAGCGGGAATAAAATATGGGGCTTCTCTGTGGAAAGCAGTTCGGCTACGCAGCCACGCCAGTGTTTCGTCATCTCTCGTTGATAGGGAAAAAAAATAGGCGAATAATCGAGAAAGGTTCAAATAGAATAAGTAACAACATTGCACTTAAACAACCACGCGAAAGACGGGTCTAAAAAACAAAACAGAGACACACACAACATCGTCGTGTGTCTTCTCCTCAGTCCCGTTTTTTGCGCTACTAATAACAATCAATTTGAACCAACTCGCTCAGTCTGCCATCCTACTTCAAGTATTAGCAATCTTCGATTCGAGTGAGGATCGAACCCAGGTCTTCTGCGTAACAAGTAGGTGTTTTACCACAGAACAATACCATTGTTTGAAACCACCTCGGGAAAAGCACATCAATGTCACGTATAGGAGAGTCCGTAACGCATGTAATACTGCGACGCAGAAGCGGAAATTCGCCCCAATCGTCAAAACATGTGAATTGCTGGTACGGCTGGTTCAATTACAAAGTGTTCAGGCATACTTGATTGTAACTGATCATCGGTAATAGCATCAAAAAAGTGTGCAGGTTCACGCATCGTCTTACGTCACCAATTCGCAAAAGGAAGAGTCGTGCGCCGTGGGCCCTTTGAACTGGCAGTAGACATTAGCTCAGCCAGACAAGAAGGAGACGTCAACTATTGCACTATCACGTTTTCTTCTTGAAGACGAAGATCAAGCGTCTTTCAAGCTTTTTTCTTTCTATTCTTCGCTCACGAGCCATGCCACCAATACAGACAGCAGAATTGGCTATATATAAAGCTGTCACGTCAAATCAACGCGTGCGCCATCAGTAAATCGGAGGGTTGAAAATGTAATACTCGAGCGAATGACTGATTGTTTAGGAGTACCAAACAATTTCACGTCAATAGTGCGAAGTAGTGGCACCGGTAAAAGCGCCATTTTCGTCGGTAAATAATTTACCACGCTTTATCCTTTTTTCTACCCTCTTTTGGGTAAAGTCGCTGTCGGCGGAATTCACTGTGCAGGGCCGTGTGCAACTTAGCAGGCGCGTAATGGCGGCGCGTTCCTTCGAATGACAAATTCAATATTTTCCTATTATACTCGTCTACATTTATATAAATGTAAGTAGTTAAAAATTGGTAAACTTTACCAATATGTTTTCAATATCTAAAATCTAACTTTTGGCTGTCAGCATTAAAACTGGAGCAAAAGCTCCAAAATATAATTCACACGAACATAGTAGAAATTTCCCAGCGGAGCACACCGTGACGTCCCCCAGGGTCAAACTGCGATCATCGCGAGTAAATAGCCAACTATATCTCCTCATCTGCTCCGAAGCCTGTCTTAACATAATAACATTTCATAACGTGCACTGCAAATATGGATGCGAAGATCACACTATAATTAATACAGTGCAAAACGGCTGTTCCCCATTCAAAATTTGTTTTAAAAAACGATTCGATTTCTTATAGTGTTTCTGCCGACGTCCGAAGTGACTAGCATCTCTTCGTCACAGAGAAGAATAGAATAGTGTTTCGCCGACAGCTCTTGTTTTCCCTGTATTGATTCCCTTCACTCTATTCTTTTTTGTGCACATATTTGTTCCTTTTCAAGCAGCGTTCCACTTGTACAGGTTGATAAGTATACTTAGTAAAACTGCACTAACCCCTGAAGGGACAAATTTAAGACTGCTCTGGAGGCTGATTTCATGCGTCAATAAACCAAGTTGTGTTATTGTGCGCTTATTTGCCACACTCCTTTTTTCGTGTCGTAACCCGGCGTGCTGTTTGTCCGAAAAAAATAAAAAAAGTTTGCTTTTTTTATTTCTCTTTCACCATTTCTTTCTCTTTATCCGTTTTTTTCATCATAGATATCATGACATTCATGACACGATTTTTATGCTCCGAGTTGTTTGTATTTTTGGCACACCCTGTCTTGCGTGGTCTTCTCTTTCGTCTTCATTTGTCGCGCTACGCTCACAATGAACCTCCCCCCCCCCCTTTGTGATGTGTTGCCAATTTCGGTAATTACTAACTTCATAAAATATAACCGAGACAGCACCAAGACAACGTCTAATATATCGTGGCATACATGGAAGGCATGGCATTATTTTCATGTTATTAACCGTTTCTTTTTTGTTTGTACTATACCTCACCTCTTTATGGTGCGAACACTCACTTAGAAAAGCATTCTCTTAAAAATTTATGCAAACGATTCAATAGCCTTATGACCAGCGTATGCGGCACTGCCCTGTTACAATACCACATTCGAAGCATCCTTATTCTAGTAATAAACATATAGACCCTCCTCCAGATACGATGATTATCAATAAACATTAGAGCGTAACTGTTCCCCAATTATTGATACGAATTGCTTACAATTCAGTCATTTTTTGAAGACGCTCGATGGCCGTGGTAGGTACACTTGTTACGAATCTAGAGATATATTATATAACATATTCCAAACTTGCGGAGAAATGCGTCAGCTGTAATTCATTGTCCAAAAAGGCTGCTCTCGTGCCATCAAAGATGTGCGTAAGGCCAAAACGTATTTTAAATCTTGAAAACATGTTTCAAACCGGTGCAAACACGTCTCGTCACGTGACGTGACAGCTCTAAATCTAGCTAGTTCTTGACGTCGTTTCGCGTGATATCAGTGTCGCTAATTTGGCATCTATGAAAAAAAAAAAAAACATTCGAGAGGAGATGAGCCGCGCTCACCCCCTGTCCAGCTCACGAAATATGTAAGTTACAACACGCACTCCTGCGAAAGCCACATCGGATTTGATTGGCAGAGCCCAGCAGACACTGTTAGCCCAGCGTTTCTAAAGATTAGCAAAAAGGAAGCCTTGAAAGTAAACGATTTCAAACAGAGAAAAATGCTGCTTACGCACCTTGGCATTGTCGCGTGTGCCGGCTGTACCGATATCCTTGCGGGCACAGCGCGGCCCGACCAACGTTCACTTCGCGTCTCTTGCACTGGAAGCCACCGTCCGTGTTGACGCAGAGCGCAGACGAGCCGCAGTTGTGGCTGCCTTGGGAGCATTCGTCGATGTCTGGCGAGCCAAGGACACTCATTATTTGCATGAGCTCATCGGAAACGTGCAGTCACCAATTTTGAGTCTTCTACAACAAAACAGGCTGTTTGAAAAGAGTTCCAAAACGCTGTTCACATAGCAGCCGCTTTCTAAGGTGGATTTTCTGTGCCGGCGACACAAAGGTAACACAACATTTCGTTACGCTGACAAAGGCAGGAAAGAGAAGTTGAAAGCTTGCGATTAAAATCCAGAAACAGGGGCGCTGTGCTGGAGCCGACATTTCACCAAAATAACGTGTCTTCTTCAAGGCTAGAAATAACTTCGAAGAAGACACGTTTACTTGGCGAATCTTCGTCTTTAGCGCACAACCCCCTGTTCACGTCGACCCAGGGCTATACAGTTGAGGCGGTACGCTTTAGGGATGACGAAGTGATCGCACGTGTCATACGAACATTCTTTTCTATTAGTTTATTAACCTGTCCTTCCTTCTCACATTGCTCTATGCAAAGTGCGAGTTCAGAGTGAGGCTAGTGACCATCTCGTCTCGGATGTAAGTCGTGGTTCAGACAAGCTTACACACTTTTTCATAAGCACCTCGCAGTTTGCGTGTCGGTGGTTTTCTGTTCGGGCCGTATGGTCTCAGTTTTCGATCTCAGCGTTTTCCCGTTACGCTGGAAAATCCAAACGTAGCTATAGTTGCGCTATATTTGAGTTATTTGTTAAATGAGCAGGGGCCTTCGCCGCAGAGATGCATATCGTTACCTAAGCTTACTGAGATGGAACTCCGTGTCCGGCATTTGTGACACACTGTAGGTTTGAACTTGATGTTTCTCAGCAGACTTCTTTCTGTCCTCGCAGCGCTTTCTTTACACAGTATGTGTGACAGAACTATTTAATTGTCTTCAATGAGGTTGTAATAACTTTTTATGCACAATATGCGTTGTAAATGATAGCTAACAATATTTACAGTGTTTAAAGACATTTTAGTAAATAAAGTTACTACTACAGAACTAAATTTCGTCTGTTTTTTTCATTGTTTTTACCAAACAAATCTTCCTTACTTTTAAGTGCTTTCAGGAGCAATATCAATTTGAGATAAATTTACTTGGAATTTCCTTTCTAGGCCTGAGGAGGATACCTCTCTTCACTTAATCGATATGGCTAGTCGTACAAATCTAGCTGCTAAACTCTTGAAGGACGTCTGAGCAAAGCGCACAGGCATATACACATCGGAATTCACGGTAAACAGCAACGCTCGCTTGCTAACACAGATATTTGGAGCCGAGGTTACTTATTTCGGATTTTATATACAGCTCGCGTAGCAAAAATAAAACACTCTAGAACGTTCCACACAAAATGAGTTCTTTCATTTGAAAAGCAAAGACAGTGAATGCATGATGCCGAGTTCAAAGGGTACCGTGGCTGACTCTCCGAGTTTCCAGGAGGTATAAGACGAAGTTTACGCTCTGCATCGCAGCTGCGCCGGTCGAGAACCGATGGTCGATCGTCACTGCTTCGGATACATTTACTGTGCACTGATTGGCTAGAATAAGGAAAGCTCCAATTTGGAAGCATGACTTGTGTTCGCTAGGCCCTTATTTATTCTAATGCCACATTGTAATGAGCACTGAACTTAGCGAGCTCGTCCACATCTATCTCGGCGCAGTTTTTTTTTCTCGAACACCCTATTCTAAATAACGAGCATGACGCGCCGATTATTCTAACTATAGCTGCGTCATTTTTCACGAGTAATCGATGCAAGTATTGACGAAATCATTCACCTCTTTTGCTGCACTGGCTCAGACAAGATGATGAATTACTTCCCCCTATGTCCTTGACAAAGTGCATCTCAACAGAGACGTGTCAGTTAAGTGATTCGCCGCGATTAACGAACAACAGCAGCGCTCTACAGCCTCTCAGTCAGTGAAGGTGCCCTCACTTGGGCACATCAACTTCGGAGGCGCGTCACGCTCCACGTGTTTCTTTGAGTGGTTTGAAGCTCAGCGCGCAAGTTCCTTCACGCTTCTTGAGTGGACTACGAGCAATCATTTACCTTCACCGTGTTGTTGTGCATTGCTGCGGAGGGTCACTTTTCTGGGCACACTACCATTTACGACAATCGATTCGATCGATGTGCTGCGCTCCAGAGACCAACGTCAAGATTTTTTTCTTTGTTCCAAACGAATACAACAACAAAAAAGCAGACTGTGCATGGACTCTGGGCCTAATATAGTTAATTTTTTTATGCGAGAATGGAAGCTGACCGTTTGCAGAATACTTACACGTTTATTAAATCTTTGATAAATATATCCTATGAAGCTCACCAAAAATTTATATTTTATTTTCATGCTTCACTGCAATACTGAATGCGTCGTAATCACATAATATGAATTTGACGCATTTGCAGACAGTGCATCGAAAAAATTGCTATTTTAATGGACAATCTGTTTTATGCTGAAGTTAGTATTATCACAGGATTCAACCAGTCTATCTGCATATCCTAAATTATCTACTGTTCCTATTTTTTACCTAGCTGTCAGTTGGCTGGCAGGATGGGCATCACGAATCAAGCAAATACTCCTCGTAAGAGGTCGTGAAGCTCATCGTTGCGGCTCCCACGTGGTAGAACCACCAAATATATAGAGACGGATGAGCATTCAGCAGAACTAAGCCAGTCTTCGGATAGGCGCACTATACCGTAATGTCTAGCACTGCGTCTTGAAGCTTGTCAGACGAAGCCGGTGATTGTAGAACTTTATAATCAAAGGATCAGATTCTCAATGGCATGCAGTACTACTACTGCGTGTACGAAACTTTTTAGTTAAAATAGCTGGCTACATTGATTATCAATGTAGCGTACTGTAGGGATCACTGACTTATGTAGGTTCATTGGTCCGAAGTATACAGAGAACACGCGTTATTTCCTTGTTTGGTTGCAAGTTTCGCGAAAACTTGCTCTTTACGTAATTTACATTTGCGTCCATGGGCCCACCAGTGATCACTAACTAGGAGGAGAAGCGGTGGTTCTACACTGTAACAAGTGGCACAAAACTAAAGTTAATAAATCGTCCGACGTTCTTGATCACGCGATCAAAACAAAATAATATAGGCATAGAAGTCACGGGCTTCCCGAAATGCATTCATGCATAAAAGTGCGACTACTCAGTTACAGTCACCATGCTTTCAAAAAAACAGGGAATAAATCACCCATTTTAAGGCGCCAGATGCTTTCCAAACTTGAAATAGTGTGCTTGGTTTAACGTTGTCTTCTACTGACGCAGAAAAACAGCACCATTTCTGAAAGCATTCACAGCTTCACAATTTGACTACAAGTAATAATAATAATAACTGGGGTTTATCATCCCAATAATCACAACATAATCATGCGAGACACCGTAGTCGAGAGCTCCGGGAATTTTGACCATCTGGGGTTCTTTAACGTGCAGCTAATCCAAGCACATGGGCTTAGACATTTGTGCCTGCATCTATAATTCGGCCACCACGACCGGTATTCGATTCCGCGACCTGCGGATCAGCAATCGAACACCATACTCACTAAACCACCGAGGAGGGTCGACGTATGCGAAATATGTCGATTGCAATAAAATACCTGCGCAGCTGCAATGACTGTGATACCCCGCCTCAAGTACTCGGAGAGACCAGCGTATACACGGTAGGAACAGCCCAAGACATCAGGCATGCACTCGCCTGTTCGCTATGCAGGCATCGGTGACAGCGCACGATCGCTTACCGAGGCACTTGGCATAGAGGCTGTTGTAGCGAAGGCCTTGGCCACAGATCGGGTCGCACACGTAGCCGCCGACTGTGTTCTTGCACTCTTCCTCGAGATCGGCCTCGCAAGCGCTCAAGTCTTCGGCGCATTCGTCTACGTCTACGCACACACAACACACAAGCATGTGCGGCCGCACCTCTTTTTTTCAACGAGACGCTAATGCGCAACGCAGAATTCTCGTCATACGAAGTATTGCTATCACTGGGATACTGTACACAGCATATAAGTGCATGTAGAGTCTCCTTGATTAAGCAGAAAAGTAATTCGAGTAAGCTCAGAGACGAACTTTGGGACACTTCTTTTATACGTTATTATTGATGTGCAGCGTGCAAATGCTTCCTCTGCTTAACAGAAAAGATGAAGTGAAGCAACAAATTCTGTTAGGTTTTCAATGCTTCCGATTTCGAAAACGGCATGAACAAGAAAAGTTTATAAAGCCGAACCCTTCTAGACTACAAATCATTAAGAGTACGTATTGCCATTGCATGCGAGAAGGGAACTTATGATTTCTTAAACAGCGCTGTTCGCCTTTTAGAAACAAATTGCTGCCTATATGTATATGTTCAAGGAAATAAGCATATATTCGCGAATTTTTCGACAAGAAGATAGCTAACAAAAATCATGCAGTGAGCGCAATCATGTAAAAAAGTTGTTTAATGTGTACCGCCTACGAACTTCTTCGCGGTAATAAAGAAAATCTGCACAATTACAGTAACAATTTCTGCTCTTTGTTGTAGGCGTAGACGTACCAAAATTATGACAATGTTGGCGCGTACCATAAATGAAGGAAGTTTTCTTCCCTATTGTGCACATCAAAATAATGTGTCCCAAACATCCCAAAGATTTACCTTTGTTCACATTTCGTGCTCAATAAATTTACTGCGAGCTTGTTAGTTCGGTAATTCGAGCAAACACTTTATGAGGTATATGTTTTTTTTACACGTTGTAAAAAGTAACTAATGGGCTAGTATTGAATTCTAAGGTTTCAGGGACAAGTACTAATATTGTGACGGGTAACATGAACAAGTGCATTCTTTAGGTTTTCTTTGTGTGTATACATTGACGTGGTGAGATCTTTCCAGTAGAACACAAAGAACAACGAAAGGTATTTGGAGCATTTAAGGAATCGACGGGAATCTTTGCACCTTAACTAAATATTGCATTAACGTTTGTCCACATCTTCGTGGATAACATTCCTTGCCAATTTTTTCTTTCTTTTTTTTCAGACATGATGGCAAAAAGCGAGTAACGAAAGAGAAGAAAAAAAAAACCAAGCACATGCTCGATTGGCCAACACATGGCTAACACATGCTTGATTAACTAACACCGACAGAGATTTGTAGTGTGTGCCGAATTTAATCCAGCGTTTTTTGATACAAATAGCACCCATCAGTCACAATGAAAGGTTGAGTGCTTCGAAGTTGTTTAGACTTTTATTTACTTTCTAGAAAAATAGCGCTGTAGCGGAATGATGGCCAAAAAACAAATGCCTAATCCTCTAGCATAAATACCTGAGTCACATCAGGTTAGGCCTGTACCATACTTACACAAGTTAGCTCATCGCTGATACTGACATATTTAGGCAACGCTTTGTACCATGCAGGTGAATTAGATCGCTGTTTCATTTTATAGTTCTGGGAATCTCCCGGAACAAAAAAAAAACGATAGTGTTCAGAAGTAGTCATACAATGTGGCGCGTCAAACCTGGCTCTTCACTCGTAAAAAAGACGGTGTCTGGATTGCTCTCCATTCTAATGCAATTGACTACCTTGTCGAATAATTTAAATTTAGACATTGCTTTACACCCTATTGCGGATATTCCATAGTAAGTTGTGTCAGCAAAGAGACGTTGATCGCGATAGAAAAAGACGCACTTAATTTTTTTTTCACGCATTTGAAATAGCACTACCTCTCAAGTTTCAAGATACAGCTAGAAATTGGGTGAAGTCTACTGTCCAGTTGGCATTTACTTGCTAAATATTATGCTTCGGAGTGTACACGACGACTCTTCTCAGACGGATAATAAAAAGTGGGTAATGATCACCATAAAAAGCATTTGAGATTGATCTCCAAAACTGATATGAAGCGTTAAGAAGTGGTCCGAAACACTTCGTGCCAATATTGACACACACCATTTACGAATGGTCCTCTGTGGCAGGGGTCTCAAACACGTGGTCCACGGCCCGACGACAAATAAAATGTTGACGACTTTTTGAACAGTGCTCGCTATATTGCCATTTATAACGCGTTGTTCGGGTAAGCTATTGAAATGGTACTGGTCTGAAACGTATCTTTTCCTGAAGCACTCCATGGGGCCCCCATGTGTTGAAATACGACCATGAAATAAAAGCTATATACCTCAAAATCAAGATCCGCATTTAAGTCTTTGTATGTGCCCTGTTACTGGAATGGTGTGCAGCCTTTGTGTTCTGTACATGCTGTAAATAATTTTTTTCTAAACATGAAAATCTGCATTGATATGATTTTCAAATCCTGATGCCGAATTTCCTCCAGGAATTATCCGTATATGTATTATGATAACTGTGCTCTTTCAATTCGTTATCCCCACCATACTTTTTCTTTAACCTTAGCTGTTCATTATCCTGGCCCTCGTGCGAGAAAAATTTTTTGACTGTGGCCTTCTATAGGTGAGGTAAGAGTTAAACCCCTGCTGTACGGCGCACAATCGTTTTGGGTGAGAAGCAGGAAAAAAAATGCCAATGTGCCGAGGAAGACATCAACCCCTGCTTTCCTGTTTCAATTCGCCCGCGACGGTGGGTCCATTAGATTCACGCGCACCAGGAAAAACCGGTTCACGGCTGTACATGAGAGGTTCAGAAATATTGCAGCACGAGTTCGGCGGTGCAGACACAGTTAGACACCGCAAACAAATGACAAGATGCCAGCAAGGTGCCCGTCTTATTTCAATTAGCTTAATTTACACCATTCGCTGATCGAAAACCACATGTGTGAACAGTTTATTAGGAGCAAACATCTTGGCAAAACACACTACGTTAGTAGATATGATGATTATAATATATGGAATTTAACGCCCAAAAACCATCATATGATTATGAGAGACGCCGTAGTGGAGGGCTCCGGAATTTTTGACCACCTAGGGTTCTTTAACACGTTAGTAGAGGTGGGTATATATACGGCGCCTACGCCTCAGTGCTGCGTACGCACGACTGATCCAAGCCGGAACCGTCTGCGTAAGAGGTGCAGGAAAATTGTGAACTAACGCTGCATCCCTTCTGCACCTTTTGAAACGAGTAGTATGGTTCAGAGGTCGTCATTACTGCACCGCTGAAACTAATGACAATGTGCAGCACTAGTGAACTAATTCATGCGGGGCAGGTGAATCGAACAGACCCACTAGTATAAAGGTGCAAATGGAAGTCGCAGCTTCAATTAGTCTTCCCTTTGATAATGCACAATCCCTTGTCTCATACAGCCTACTCAAGTTTTAGGAAATCATTGTGAAAAAAAAAAACAGGTTGACGAAGACAAAAAGAGCGCCTTCCTCCCATTCCGGCTGTATATCTTTTCAGGCTTTCATCTCAAGACTAAAGTAAACCATATAAACCAGAAATTCATTAGTCCCCTCAGCGAACCGAGTGATTTACTCACCCACGCACGCTGCAGCATCGTCCTTCCAGACGTATCCACCAGGGCATTCCTTGCTTTTCTTGGAAAGACACTGGTAGCCGCCGTGCGTGTTGAGACAGCTTTGAGAGTCCAAGTCGCAGTCGTCCAGCCCCTCCGAGCATTCGTCCACGTCTGTTCGGGCAGCGATTGGGCGGTGGTTGCCCTCGTTATACATGACCGCGGCCGGCTAAGGCATTTACGGGACTAATCTGTCGACGCTGGTTTCTCGAGCGTCGAAGTGCGTCCAGATATGTGTACAGCACTAGAGCAGGCGGCCTTGCTCTGCGGGGCGACACCTTGCGGAAGTTGTGCATTCTGACGTGGTTTTCTCAGGAGCATGCGCGTACTATTAGGCATGCTGACGTGCTTTGCACAATGGACAATATTGAAGGGGAAGCTATTTTGACCGAAGAAGCATGCTCCCTCAAGGCGCTTTCAGCATCTGTATTCTAAAAGCGCCTGACTAGACACGTCATCTTTTGGAATCGAGATAGCAAAAGCACCTTGGAGGAGCGGGTAGATGTTCAGTTAAAGAGCAAGTGCACCTTTCAACGCTGTCACTCACGCGAACCAGGTTGGCATAACATGGTGATTCCAGCGCTAAAAAAAAAAAACGTACGCATGTGAGAGAGACGACAGACACTGCTAAGGGAGCATGCGCGAAATTCAAAGAAAGCAGAAGGTGTCCATCTTTCGTCCCACTGCCGAAGACGCATATAAAGGCCGACATTTCGCGAGACCAAGATTCTACGTAGAAGCCGAAACAAATCAGCTGCGGCAGGCCTGCCATGTGAAGAAGAAAAAAAAAAAAGCAAGTGACTGTGTCAGTGGCACGTCCATCTGCTTGTAGAGCAACGACATTAGGTCTTTCGATAACACACACACGTATGGCCTGATACGTGGTGTAACCGTGACATGCGCCCGCTGCGTCTGCGCATCATTACGCTTACAGTTCATTGGAGCCTTTGAAATAAATCAGTCATTAGCAGCACCCATCTGTCGTCCGTCTTTCACATGTGTAACTCTTTTATAGCACTAAAATCACCAAGCTATGTAATCACCAACTCGTCCAACAACAAGTTCTTATCAGGTTGTCATGTCTGTCAGGCTACGCATGCTCCCGAGCACACCACACCCACAACATTCGCAAGATGTCACCCCGCTTAGCAAGGCCGGCTGCTCGAGCGCTCTGCACAGACGTGGACGCGGCTGTATCGGTGAGACTACTTGCTCTTGATCGAAAATAAATAAATAAAAAAATAGCGCGACACAAATTAGCTTCGCAACACTTTGTGTGCAATGTCCATGCTTCTCTTATGACCAGTTGTTGCCGACTTATATAAAATAGCTGATCTTTGTTTACAAAGACCTTTTCTCCACTAACATCACGCAATGTGTACCAATACTGCAGCGTAAGTTTGGCTGAAATTTCAGAACCATTGACAACAACACTTGACTTTGGTGAAGGAAATAAGGGAAAATTTAGGTTGTCTTTTTCTTCGTTAGACACAATATTATTCCGATGCTCTGAAAAAGTCTTCCCCACTCGACGTAATGGCTACTGGTGGTGCAGACTGACACTCCCACATTTTTGTACATATACACCATATCAAGTGGACGGAGCGATGACCACCGCCATAGATCAGTGGAGGCGCTGCTCAGTGGTTGAGCCCCGGACGCTTTATTCGAAGGTCGCAGGTAAAAACTGAGAAGCAATCTCTTGATTAATATCCCCACGTAAACATGAGGCAAGTTCAATCAATTTTAAGAACTACGTCTACAGAAATTTTGGCATGAAATGCACGTGTATCAGCCTGATCAGATGAACTTATTATTAGCAATTGTGGAAGTGAGAGTGTGTTGCGCGTAAGACCCCAAAAAAAAGCACAGTTCTTGTTTAACTCGCCTATGCAGTCTTTGATGGCAGTGTTGTACTTGAAACCAGCTTCGCACTGGGGCACGTCTCCACCAGCGTCAGGCAGGGCAACGTTGTCTGCCTTGAGTATGCATTTGAAGCTTCCCGGTATGTTCATGCAGTGTTCTCGGGTTTCGTCGCAGTCGTCCCTTCCCTCAGAGCATTCGTCGATGTCTGCGAAGAGAATACATCACTTCTGAAGCGATGGTTTTACGCATAATACACACGCGCACCATCAGTGGGAACCAAGTATCACCGTCATGTCCAGGCTGAAAGAGAACAACGTCTTCGCGATTGAGCAACCCCGACGATTACGGTACCGCTTGATGCCAATTTCGTGCTTCTTGTTGGGGCATGTTTTGAAGTTTTGGCTTTCGCCAAGTTGTCGACTGCGCCAGGGGTCGACAACCTTTTCAGAACGACGGCCAAGTAGCATGAAGCAGATAAAATGGCGGACCGCATGGCAGTTTGAGGGAAGTGGGGGAAAGGCTTTACAGACGAAGAGAAAACGTTCGACGAAGTTGCAAAGAGAGATTAGAATTTGTGTTTATATTCCGTGCACATGTCACACTGTTCCAATCATACACATAGGTTTCAAGCGAAAGCCTCGCCGCAGTGGTCTAGTGGCTAAGGTACTCGGCTGCTGACCCGCAGGCCGCGTGATCGAATCCCGGCAGCGGCGGCTGCTGTTCCGATGGAAGCAGAAATGTTGTAGGCCCGTGTGCTCAGATTTGGGTGCACGTTAAAGAACCCCGGGTGGTCGAAATTTCCGGAGCCCTCCACTACGGCGTCTCTCATAATCATATGGTGGTTTTGGGACGTTAAGCCCCAGATATCAATCAGGTTTCAAGCGAAAGCCTCGTTTTTTGACAAAACTGCAATCTCGATATCAGATAAAGGAAGCTGGGTTGAAGTCATGCCGGGGGCCACATACTGCGCGGGCAGCAGACAGTTGCTGACCACAGGTTAACGCCGTCGATCATAATTTTGTGAAGTATAGACAGCATAGTGCTATCGCGCAATGCCCTCACAGTGCCCTCGGTGCGGGGGAATGTGCGATTTAGAGCACATACTTTGGCGGTGCCCCTCAATACGTGCGGTGTTAATTTGTGGATTGTGTTGCGATAGTAGCGGTAGCCGAGAGCGGCCAGCAGTCGAACGGACTTCACTGAAGCCTTCGCCTAGAGGTGGAATACGGAGGCAATTGTTGTGTAAAAGGCAACAGGTAGGAACGTTTTTTTATAGCAGGTAATTGTTTGTCCAAAGCCAGCCAGCACGACCAAGTCGGCTGGGGCAAAAATCCCTCAAAACATGAGACGTTAGCAGGAAAACACTAATAAATAACGTATGTAAAGTTTCAAACTGTCTAATCAGACGTTTTGCAAACCTATCTACAACTTTCTCATTGAAAATTTTAATCTATTTTCGTTCCTTAAAAAGTTAGATAATTAAAAATATCTAATTAAACGATATTTTAAAAACAGTAAGTAGTCTGACTAATTCTAGGCAACGTTCAGCAACATGATATGGCTAAAGATAGCTGGGGCACTCTGTCTCTCTTTCTCTCTCTCTCTCTCTCTGTGCGTGTGTGTGCGCGTCCGCGCATGCGTGCGTGCGTGTGTGTGTGCGCGTCCGCGCATGCGTGCGTGCGTGTGTGTGTGTGTGTGTGTGTGTGTGTGTGTGTGTGTGTGTGTGTGTGTGTGTGTGTGTGTGTGTGTGTGTGTGTTTTGGGAGAAGTTTCGAGCACTCAAGCACCCCCACGTGTGTCGATGGTAAAGAGTACTCGACTGCCATGTACATGGCTCGGGTTCAAATCTTATTTGATCCTGGAGTATTACTTTCTAATTCTATATCTTCATCTCTATCGGTCTCTTTTCTGGTTCATCAAACGGCCGCTCAAGAGCTGCACTCTAAAATGAAGCAGTTACGCGCTTTTTGTGAAGGCCTGCCTTCGGTCCCTGCATTCCCTCGGTGGTAGTAAGCATTGCTCGGAACGCACATCAGGAGCCTCGTCAAAAAACTGCACGGCCATACAACCCTGCACATTAAACAATGGCGGTGACATTGGAAGGTCGAAGCACTTAGGGAAAAGGTGTTCCACTAACGTGAAACCCATAGGGACAGCATGCAGTGTTTCCGGAGATATTCTTACGATGAGGTCCCACACCTGAAACCAGACATGTTGGGAAGGGTGCTTCCACTCCCCTAACGTCGTCAGGAAAGTGTGCCGAAATTGTGGTGCTTCCATTCTTCTTCCCTGCATGCCCGGCTTCTCTATGGCATGTATCACCTCCACCAACGTCGTTCGGCTAACTGTTGCCTCTTTTAGCGGAGGTAAGTGGTGGGGTTTACCCATCGTGGCAAATACCCGTTGTTGTGACGACAGAAGACGCGACAAGCCTAGAACCTATAGATGCTAAGCCTGCCACATAACTAAAAGTTATGTGACAGGCTTGCCCCACCTTCGAAAATTATAGGTGGGCCCCCATCTCTTGAGCACGTCTACGCGAAAGCGGCATCGGTGGCCGCACTTCATGCATGTACTACAATGAACGACGAAAGTGCAGCATTACCTGCACAAGTGGTCAGGTCATCCCTCAGGCGATATCCTTCGTGGCATTCGCAAACTGGTGAAGAGTCCACCATGTGACAAAGTTGTTCGCATTGATTGTTCCGGTCACATTGCCGCTCATGGTTTCCGCCTGCAAAAGCGAAGGTACGTAATGAGGATTTCCGAAAACACTCACTGTCATTCTAAGTTCATTATTTCACTATCCTATGTCTATTGCTAGAAGGGGAAATCACGCCTCAAGGATTGAGTTATAAATTCTGCGACGAACTTTCTGCACATAAGGTGATCATGACATCGCGCATTTCAAAGTATTTTGCGCATTTCAGACGCACAAGCTCAAATAAATTTCTGTAAGTTGGCATGTTGTGTCCACAGCCTTATTCGACGACAAATACAGTTCATTTTCATAGAACAATGAAACTTCCAGCAAGCGCCATCAAAATATATGGCGTCAGGGCTATTCCTGCGGTAACTTCAAGGTATATAGTCATCCCCAATATATTCTTTTTGTACATTTTCTCGCTTACCAAGCATTCCTCGCACATTTCACGAATATGATACGAGTAGCATATGCTGAATTCGGTGGTTTTATTAGTCACGTATGGTTCGATATTTCTTAATAAAAATTACGTTCCAAACTTGCCTTTCCTGAACAAATGCTTGGTTCCTACACAAGCTTGAATAATGTATCAGAAAACAAAGAGTAAATATAACATGTCCCTGAACCACAAAGTTGATTACTTTAAGCCGGTGCTGCAGAAGTCCTGGAATGCCACTCTCTGTATGAAATACTGACACTACTTTACCAAACTGAACATCAGTCATTTATGACCTAAAACGTCTCAAGCATATGCTTAAGCCGGCCACGTAATTATAAGAGTTAGCGGTTCAGCAAGATCACTAAATGAAGTTTGAAAAACATATCTGATCCCTCCGTCGTAGGAATCGGTATTGTGACGTCATCCTGCTGCATTCCGTGGCCGCCTGCTCCAGAGACGAGCGCTAAGACACGTGCTATCTTGGTTTCCTTTATCCGGTTATTACGGGAGTCATGTGATCATTCTGACTGTATATATTTCACGACGAAACATTAAAGAGGGCGTTTTTCTTGGTCACGATGTAACGAGCGTCTGTCGATCACTCTGACGAGCTTGACAGGTATAACAAGCACGCATGTGAAATATGTCTTCGCATAAGTGCTCATATCGCAGTGATGTATGAAAACTTCTACAATGTCTACTGATGTTTAGCACCTCCGCTTAACGTGGATGCACCCTCGTTGACACCCAGTGGCTCACATCTATCACGACCACTATCGCCCACGATTGTTAGTTAAGCATATTGATACATTCCCTTTTTGAGTTTTGTTATCGCCACGTTTTACTGTTAATGATTCTCAGCGCTAACAACGCCTCAGTGTTCGAGAAGCTTCACAACTGCAGTAGATCATTCCGTTACGATTACGCCCACTTCGCGAACATTACAAATCATTCAGGAACCTACGTCGCCACTTACGACAACGCTAGAATATTCGATGACACGTGTACAAATGCCGACGCGCCTCACCACTTGTCAGTTGATCGACGGCCGACGTTCTGTTCGCCGCTGTCAGTACCTGCGTATTGCTGTAATATCACCTTCAGTTTACTAACCACAAGTTCGGCCGAATAAAAAGTTTCACCTGAGCATCGAGTCTGCTCCCTTCATGCACGTCCCGACTCCGCGACTGTATATACCTCAACACAGCGTATCGTAAATCCCGCACAAACATGACAACAGGAACCTGATGAACACCAGTGCCCGATAATCACTTCTTCAAAGCGCTGTCAATTAAGGAGAGAAACGATTCGGCGCGCGCTCCCGTACAACAGGGTAGCCTACGCCTGTGCTTATGCATACACTACGACACTACGTATTGACAATATGGGAGACAGGTTCGTAGCTTGATCCGCAACCGCGCGCAGGCGTTGCACGTCCCACTGGCCCCTGTCTCGCCCCATGAGGGCACAACCTTTACCCGTCGACATCTTTGTCTTTCCACAGCAGTTATTGGAGCAGTATTAGTAGTGATGGCTATTGTACTCGAAGCAGCCGGTGGTGGAGAAGCACACTTAAAGCATGCGGAAACTGTGCGGACAGCGAGCCGTCACACACCAACACGAAGCTAAAAGCGAACGACGTAATTGCGTCTCGGGCGACACCGCGATGCTAGTGAGGCCAGTGTTTTTCGCTGGCATGAAAACACTTAAACCGTGGCGCCCGAGACTGCGAATCGTCGAGGCTCTGCTTTAACGTCGTCGTTGTCGAATCGATCTCTATCTGCGTTGCTAAGTGTTACGCCACATTACTTCCCTTGACCGATAACCGACGACGGCACCACACCACCCTACTTAGCCCCACCAACAGAAAGCGCCTTGCGAGAGAATGTGTGAGAGATGTAAGGCATGTTTGTAAAGTGCCGTGCCTTGTTAGCTTAGTCTGCAGAGCACCGAGCACTTGTTGTCGTGGTCCGAGAAATCGTCAGTTCGATTCTTAGTGACGGAAAATTTTTTTGCTTAATCGTCCGTTAGCGTCCGTTTTATCAACGTCATATTTGTGACGAAAAGCGTATTTGTAGTCGTAGTGGACACCCGCATAAAACACTTTCATGTTAAAATAATATGGGCAAGGAAAGCAGCGCTATTCTATAGGATGAAGTAGAAGAGGGCAATACTTTCTAGACAGATGGGCGGCAGAATTGAATTGATATGTACCATTGCCCGACTTGACGGGCACACAGCTTCGGCCGTTGTTGTGAAGTTCCTGGCCTATCGGGCATGCTGGCACATCGCTTCTTTTGTCGCCAGGACCTGCAGGCACTAAGAAGGTAAAATTCTGTGTCACCCATTTGTGCAAAGGAACATGTGCGCTTTATATGACCACGGAGCGCATTTCGCAGCCAGCTCTACAGTATGTGAAACAAGACACCACAAACTTATCTGTACTTTGCAGGAAAATCACGAAGCAGCCCATCGCGAGATACCAGAAAATATGCGCTTGTACAGAGAGTATACACACCCTACCTCTTTTTCTAACCCTGTTTTTGAGAAACCCGAGCTGTTGGGCATGTTGCACCAATTTCTAGCAAAACTGAAATGTACGTACGAAGGGATCCTGTAACACTTTTTGAGAATGGTCGGAAAGCACTGCTGATCTGTAGCAGAAGCTCCTGAGAATACGCGAACCAAGTATTATAGCGCAGTACGCGGCCTTCAATTCACAATAAATTCTCCAAGTCATCTAAAAACTACTTTTCCTTATCTTGACAAATTGCGGAACAAGCTCATAATTCATTCGTCACAGTCGCTGTATCAGCCATTGGCTGATTTGAGCATGACGCGTTCGGGCGTTGCAGGAACCGCCGCAGGACGTCGCGCCTTGTCCATGCGTGCGCGCGCGATAAAACTGGAAAACCGCGTAAAAAAAAAGATGAAGTGCTGAAGGTCACGAATTGCGTATGACGTATTTTCTTTCCCCGTGTCATCCCTCCCTGCTTAGGTTCCAGTGTTTTCGTCTGGACGAGGGAATAGAGAATGCAATTGCAGCGTGGGACACACATTTGTAACTCCGCTCTTACTGAACATATTCTAAAAAAAAAAAAAACATAGCGGCGGTGAATTCGTGAGACAATAAGCTCTTTTATTGAATCAATTCGATAGCTACTTTAAAAAGTGTTGCACGGCGCCTTTAACATTTTATCGAGACTCTAGGCCCACTGCTAGTTGTGATACTTATTCTCTTCCGCGGTAAATAAGTCACAGTTTCCACAAAAGGAGAAAAATACGAGCAATGTTACAGGTCTTACGGAGAGGGCCAACATAAGTAATCACATGCAACATGACGCAGGGAAAGCAAGGTTTTGTCGGTTTTGTAGTCAGCCGAGCCGACAGTATGTTGAGGTGCAGACAGTCTCCGCATGTAGTAGAACCACGCAGCGGCACGTCATAATTCACACTGGCAAAATAGTGAAACATATACAAAGTATGTGCAGAACGTTACTATTACATCATACAGTTAGGCATGTACAAATAATGTCCCCTGTGCGCCGTCCTTGACTTCGTTCTCTGTTGGTTTCATTAGGTATAGTCTCTTATTTATCCTTCATTTAGACATTCAGAGCTTGATTGGTTTACTGCGCACTGATGCAACGAGATTAAACGCGATAGTGATAATCGAACAACGTGGTTTGTCCCAATAACGAGACGTAGGAGAATCGGAAATATATTGCATCGTATTCACCAGCTGCGTTTGTATATCCTAGATGGGGCTAGGCCTAATCACGTCAGCTGACTCGTGGTGCATGGCACATGGGCATGGCGGCGGGTACAACAAATTGTTATCCAATACACGCTCAGCGTTCGTCTCATTAACTACACCAAACTTAAGTAACACGTCTTCTTGTTTTCTAAATGCGAATGCATTTATTAGTCGGGCTATGTCAGGCGTCCACCGGAATCCGTCCACCGCCCTCTCCCATAGGAGCAGCTGCGGGCACGCGCACCCCTAGCAACCGCAGCCCCCACCAAGTCATGCTTCGGCGTCGGCAGCTGTCAGCAACAGCTGCGGGCACGCGCGCTTATCCTCAACCCTATAGCAGCCGGAGCCCCCACCTCCGTGACTAGAACGTGATTTGCCACCACCTCAAAGCAGTGCGTTTGAAACGCATTTGTAGCGCTTGTGCTGCCTTGGCACAGCCGAAAAACAGCGCGTTCTCAACGTGTTTTAGATGCGGAGCATCTAATACTCGAGGCTTGTAGTGCGGCGCCGTCCGCAAGCTTCCTCCTCCTTCTTCCACAATCTGTGCATCCCTTCCTCCTCTACACACCGCGCGCGCTTCACTCCTCCACCATCTGTGCACCCTTCCTCCTCTACACACCACGTGCGCTTCTCCTCTTCACGAACATTCGCTAGCTGTATAATGTAGCGCGCATGCGCCGTCACGCTTCGAGAACATCGGCAGCTGACGCGCGCGCATGCGCCGTTGCGCTTCTCCCCCTTCTCGAACATTCGACAGCTGACAGTGCATGCGCCGTCGCGCTGTATATATACTCAAGGTCGGTGCTCGCTCGCTCAGTTGCCGCTCGTCGGTTGGTTTGTACGGCGCGTCGACGTCCGAGGTCACAATGATCGACGTCCCTTCGACCAGCGCCGGCCAAAGTGTTGGCGGAACCGCAACCAAGTCGTCGTCCGAAGACAAGGCAGCGCGGAGAAGAGCTCGCGACGCCGAACGTAAACGTCGGCGTCGAGCGGAAGATGCTCAACTTAGAGAACGTGAAGCCGCTGAGAGACGTCAGCGTCGAGCAGCAGCACCGGATTCGATCGCTTTGAAACGTAAGCGTCGACAAGAGGACCCGGACTTTCGAAAACGGGAAGCCGAGTGCAAGCGTCGGCGACGGGAGGCCGATCCCGATGCTGCCCGCGAGCGCAAGTGCGCCGAGGTAGCGGCGTGGCGCGCCAAGCAGTATGCCACGCCCAACGCTCGCTTCAAGCGCGACTTCCTCGACCGAAGCTTCGGTCACACCTGCAAGGTGTGTGATCGTCTTTGGTTCGATAACAACTTAGTCGCACTTTAACACCCCGTTAACCAATTATATGCTCCGCATCCTCCTCAGTTCCCCCGAGGGAAGCTGCGGGCAATTTTTTTTTAACCCTGCACGCTAGCTACTTAAGCTGGAAACGCTTACCGCGTTTCTCATGACAAAAAAAAAAAAAAAACGCCACGTGCGGTGAACCGCAGCGAACGGTGCTATTAGCTGCACAGTGTAAGAAAAAAAACAGAAAAAAATTATTTTTCTAGTGCTGGGTTCTCACGGGCTAAACGCCGTTATGGCCATTACGCAACACATCCGAATTTCCTCACGATGCCCTTCGGGGAGCGTGGAGGAAGAAGAGGGGGGGGGGTCATTTTTTTTTCTCTGACCCGTGTGTTTGCACAGTTACTGTTCCCGATTCCACTCGTATTGACGGACTCTAAAAATCCGAACATGAGAATGTGAACACCTCTGGTGAGGCTATGCGCTGACTAACGACCAAATGTGTCTTGTTCGTAAGTCAGCATATATATAGAAGACTATGTCCGAAGTGGTGGATTATATTGAGAGAGTCCAAAATATCCCTCAGCACGATTTAAAAAAAAAAAGTAGAGAGGCGTGGTCATACGTGAAGAACAATCGGTACCAAGTATATTGCAGTAACCACTAATTTTTTTTTCGTTAATGATGATCATTTATTTAGCAAATATGTTCAGAACTTGAGAAATGCTCACCTAATCGTTAAAATGTTAATGAGGCATATGTAGCCATGTTCGAATCAGATCTAATGGCACAATATTAAGCAATGAAATAACTACGAACCCATTTTCCCCAGCAGATAAATGAAGTACGCGAGGTGCGAAAAATAACACGTGTCTACGCTCCACCTACAAATCTTGACTTGCTAACTCACAGTGATCCTGACTGAGGGAGCTCCTTCGAGATGCGTGCTGCATCCAAATGACGTGTCATTTTAAAAATCTCGTGGGCTTTTTCAATCAACCAAAAACAGACAGACAGACAGACAGACAGACAGACAGACAGACAGACAGACAGACAGACAGACAGACAGACAGACAGTGAATTTTGTTCAATCCTGAGTGTCACTGACAGGTCCCTCTAACAATGGGCTGTCGTAACTGCCAGCCACGCCCACGTAGAGGACCCAGTGCCATGACGCTCCGCCCAAGCACGAAGCACTTTGTTGAAAATAGCGCAACATGCCATTTAATCATGCCTACATATTTGTCACTGACATTTTAACGAATACGTGAGCATCGTTCGAGTTAGAAATATAGTTAGGACTAAACTGTAGGCCCTACCTCAGTAACAAAACAAATTATTAGCGGCTGCAACAGTATGCCGGGAACAATATGCACTGGGTGCACTTCGCTTAACGATAATCCTATGTTTTTAAATCATGCTGTGGGATACTTCAGCCACCCTGTATATATTATATATCAGTAGATATTTGCTTCACAACAATCTTTACAATGTTCGGATATCACATCTGCTGACTGGAAGAATAAAACACATCTTATTATCGGTCAGTCAGTTTCTTTCCTTGGTCCCATCAGTTCAGTACCGTGTAATCATGAAACAACCTGCCCAAATGGATGCGGTTATCATGACAATATAATAACTCCAAAATGCGACGCTGAGCAAGTGTGCTGCAGTTCGTACCATGGTTATCGTGAGCCGCTGGAGGGGCGTCGTCAGGCAGGTCGTCCCTTCCCGAGCAGCACTGGTAGAATGCGTCGTCCCAGGGAAGGCCCAGCGAGAAGGTCTGCGGTCGGCACGGAGCCCCTTCCTTCGCGGCCGCCAAGCCGAGGCGACAGCCGTCGCAGCAGTCCTGCACGTACCATACATGGTTTGTGCTGGTGCGCAAATGGCCTTGGTAAACGGGCCATACGAAAATACACGCTCTACGAAACAACCGAACACCTTGAGAGCCTACCGCAATTTATATTACGAATATACTGCCTCCAAACAAATAAAACTTAATTCCTTTGAAAGACCATTGAAACCAATCAAGGATCCCAAGACAGACAGACAGACAGACAGACAGACAGACAGACAGACAGACAGACAGACAGACAGACAGACAGACAGACAGACAGACAGACAGACACATACGTACGTACGTACGTACAATACATACATACATACATACATACATACATACATACATACATACATACATACATACATACATACATACATACATACATACATACATACATACATACATACATACATACATACATACATACATACATACATACATACATACATACATACATACATACATACATACATACATACATACATACATACATACATACATACATACACGCACACGCACACACACAAACACACACACACACACACACATAGATACATAGATGACAGACAGACAAATAGATAGATAGATAGATAGATAGATAGATAGATAGATAGATAGATAGATAGATAGATAGATAGATAGATAGATAGATAGATAGATAGATAGATAGATAGATAGATAGATAGATGGAAAAACACGCTCGCGCAGTAGGAGTTACCCGGTAAGTGTCACCAGAGCACGTGCTCTGGACGTCCTGGCAGGGGAGGCCCGCGCGTGCAGCGTCTTTGCCGGCGTCGCACATCCTCTGCCGCAACGACGATCGGCAGCATATCTCCTGGGCGATGCGACAAGACTGTGTGGCCAGCAGCTGTGGCAGTGGGAGGCCATCGCATCCCGAATGCGCAGCGCCCCACTGGCTGCCTTCGTCGCAGCAGCCGATCAGCCCATCTTCAATGTCGGAGCTTCTGCCTGCACAACGGGCAAACCACACTTTAGAGACTTCGCTCGAACATATCGCGCTTTTAGAACGCATGTCCAGGAACTCGTGTTTCGTAATGTATGTGCTCGGTCAACGGCTCTGCTATGCGAATGATTAAAAAAAAACATCACTATAGTTTTTTCTACGATCATTACAAACACATGATGATCAAGCATATTAAGATCGGGACTTTTTACTCAACATCAACAAAATCATGGGTGACAGTTGAGCACTGGTACTGTCTTAAACGCGATAGGCTTGCAGAGCTCCTTTGGTAGAAATTGTGGAGCCTGCATCGTTGGTTGTGAGCGAGAAATTAGCATTGTCCGTGATCGAAAATTTGAGAAATGCAGATAAAGAAATAATAACAAAACTTCGTTTCACATGGGGATACTCCCCTATGCTAGGCAAGCAGATGTTCTAACAAAGAGCCACGTCAGTTCCTCGAAATCATTCGAGAAAAAAGCTTTTAATAATGCCGTGTAGTCTCGAGTGTAGCTGATAGTACTGTGTAGTACGTTGATTGATTGGCGACATATCGTATTGAACTATTGTCGAGTGTACATATTTGTTTATTGTTTGATCTGCCATATTTGCGAATATAATTTGTTTTGTTTATCAACTCTCGTCTCTGACTTGTTCTTTGGGCCACAGCCAGCGTCCGCTGGCGCGCCAAATAGGACCACTTCTAAATTGTCCACGCTTTCGTGGTGCAGTTCGGGGGGCCGATACTTCGGCCCTTGGAATTAGCCTGGCGATCACCCCCCTAATTAACGGGACCTGTGACAATTAATCTGGCGTCCGCGACAGGACCTAATTGGTGCACAGTGTGTCCAAAGTAGTGAGAAAGAGCCTCGAGTCGTTCATAGTGCTATCGGAACAATTGTTGTGTGTTGCTCAGTGTTCTCGTTAACGAGTGTGTAGAGTGTTTCGACAGATTGCTTCTGGCAGATATTTTGTGCACGCGGCAAGGCTTTATTTGCGAGACACCGTGTATCTGGAGAAGTTAGTAGCTCTTGGTAAGAAGACGGGTCTATCTGGCACTGAACTACGGAAGTGGGTCAGCCAGAAGGAAAAAGAAGAGAAAGAGAGGGCCAAAGAAGAAAAGGCAGCTGAGCTGGAAAAAGAAAGGTTGGCGGTTGAAAGAGCCAAAGCTGAAAAAACAGCTGAGCTGGAGAGAGAGAGAGGTTGGCAGCAGATAGGGCCAAGGAAAAAAAAGCAGCTGAGCTGGATAGAGAGAGTGAAGTTGGCAGCTGAGAGAGCCAATGAAGATAAAGCAGCTGAATTAAAGAGAGAGGGGTTAGCAGCTGAGATGGCAAAAGAAGAAAGAGGGGCAAAAGAGTGACAGCTTAAAAAAAGAAAGAGAGCAGCAATTGAAGTTGGAGCTGGAGAAAGGCTCGCAGCTGAGAGGGTGAAAGAAGAAAAGGAAGTGGAGATGGCTGAAAGAGAACGGCAGTGGCAGCACGAGATGGAACTCGAGCGGCTCCGCTTGCAACAGCGAAACGAAACTCCCGTCCAGGCTCGAGTTGAAAGCAGCGAGTGAGAAGATCATGACTTCCGTTTGAACCCAAGCAAGCTGCTCGTGGCGTTTGATGAAAGGAAGGAGGACCTTGACGCGTATCTTCACAGATTTCAGACGATTGCAAGGAGCCAGAATTGGCCGGGACATCAATGGGCAACTGCTTTGAGTACTTGCTTGAGTGGCCAAGCACGTAGTGTGTACGGGACGCTGACGCCAACCGATGCAGCCAACTATACGAGAGCGAAGGATGCCTTACTGAAGAGATTTAGATTGACTGTGGAAGGCTTCCGGGACATATTTCGAACAGGAAAACCAGCTGATGGTGAGACGGCTACGCAGTACGCCACCCGACTTAGCCATCATTTCGTTAGATGGATCAAACTTTAAGTCACAGCACAGGAGTATAATGAGCTTAAAGAGCTCCTTATTAGAGAACAATTTCTCACCAGTTGCCATCTAAGCCTGTCGCTGTACTTGAACAAGAGGAGAGCTAAGTCACTTGAAGACATGCTCGAATTGGCTGATCAATTTTTGGAAGCGCAAGGTGGCACGAATCTGGCCAAGGTTAAGAAGGAATGTCCCGAAGATTCGAAGAAATCGGCACCCGAAGGAAAGAAGCGTGCTCTGGAGAGTGTTCCGCGATGTTTTCTGTGTAACCGAGTGGGTTATCGCGCTAACAGCTGTTGCACTAATTTCACGAGCCCTACAGTTTAAAATGTTTCAGATGTGGTCAGACTGGGAACAAAGCAAACGTATATAACGGAGTGAGTAAAACCCACCAGGTAGCCTATGTGCAGGTGGCACCGAAAGCCGATGATGATGACGTCACCAACGGATTCGTAGAGTTGAAAAATGGGAAGAAACTTCCTATTGTGGGTGCTGTAATGACAAAACAGCCAACCGGTGTTACGAAGGCAATGCCAACGCTGCCTGGAAAAGTTGCGGGCAAGAAGGTTACAGTGTTAAGAGACACCGGTAGCTCCACTGCTATCGTGCGGAGAAATTTGGTACGGGAGAGTGAGTTAACAGGCAAAACGAAACCAGTTTGTCTAATTGACAGCATGGTTGAAATATGTCTTGAAGCAGAGATTGAGGCTGAAATTCCTTACTTCAGCGGGAGTGTTTCTGTCCTATGTATGACGACCCCCTGTACGACCTCATTGAAAACATCGATGGGGCGCGAGGGCCGAACGATCCAGAACGTTCGGGGGAAGACCCGAAGATGGAGCCCTCACCAACACAGGGACCGCGAGATACAGTGGAGAAAATTTCCGTGAAGGACTTCACCCGAGCCCAAGGTGAAGCCTGGGTGCTAAAGACGGTGAATCTGGAGATGATCGTGTTAAACGAGAGAACGTGCCGTGCAGCTGGACTTACGGCAGCACGACCTCAATCGACCAACAGCGAAAAGGTGTCTGAGTCTGCCAGCCAGGCCAAATGTCGTGACGTGAACAAGCTCGTGAATAACCAGACAAGATCGGTTGAACGTTACGACCCGTTAACGGTGTCGAAAGTGTCAACGATGGCTGAGACGCCACCTCAGATACCGTCGATTGGAAGGGCTCACCGGAACAGAACGAAAAAAAAAAAAGAAGAGATCGAGCGAGCACCGCAAGAAAGGGCGCACGCGCAGCACTAAGTGCACAGGATAGGAGATTGGGTTGGATTTCCGCGCGTGTGGTAGTGTGGAGCCTCAATGTGTTGTGTTGTTATCCTGTGTCACAAGTGAATATCGAGGGAGTCAAACTGTTTGTTGCGTCGACGTGATGTTTAGGATTGTACAATTGTGTAAAGACAGACCTTTGTACATTAGTATTGTTTGAAATGTGTGATGGAGAGTTGTACTAAAGTAGCTGTGGTTATATTTCATGTGTTGTGTGATCGAATTGAAATGTGCAATTGGATTGTGTTTTATACTGTGAATGTGACGCGCCGTGAGCGATGGGCTGTGTTATGGACTGTTGTTATGTGGTGACTGTTCGCGCTCATTTGTGTGGTTTTGAATATTATGTGATACTATTCTTAAAGTGAGTGTGTGGGGGGGGGGGTAGTGTCACAAACGAGCACTCAGAAAGGGAGTGCACCGCCGAGTTCTGGCGGCGGTTACCGTGCCGGGCGCCGCAGGGGCGCCTCAAGGTCAACGCGAAGAAAACAAGCATTCAAAGACTCCCAGGCGCGCCGTCTCTCCGCCTCGGAAGCGTAGTTTCGCCGACCAACCTCCTCATATCGGCCGCCGAGCAAGCCCTGGAAAGATCTCGAGGGAATGGGGCGTGGTGATTCAGAGTTGCGTCACGTATCGCAGACGGCTCCTGAAACGTCTCGCCCTTTCGCCAGCCTTGGCTGTGCACCGCGCCGACGAAATGATCAGAATTTTCTGGAATCTAGCGCAAAAGGTATTTAAGCGAGCAGCAGAGAAGGGAGATTAGGAGAAGAATAAAGTTAGCGCCAGTATGCGTAGGGTGTTTCCGCTGCGTCGGCGAAGGTTTTGTGCCTTGTGACAAAGAAGCAGAAGAAAGTTTGCGCCCGTGTGCGTAGGCAGGAGATGAAAGTTTTGCGCAAGGGTGCATAGGGTGATTCCGCCGTGTCGGCGAAGACTTCTGTCATCAGTGACAAAGCAGGTAATGAAGAGGATTTCCACCTGAAGGGTGAAGGCTGGTGCTACCAGCAGAACAATAGTGTGAGAATAACACCAGAGAGCGAAGACGCGTCCTGCAATCGCAACGCGAGGGAAGCCGACGTCCGGCAAAAAAGTTTGGTGCTTGGAGAGCGGCCAATTGAAGACGCGAGATTTCCTGGAAGAGAAACTTCGGGGGTAGCGGATCGACAACAGCGCTGCAGCTTGAGTGAGTGATTCTTGGAAGAGTATCATGCATACTTTGTTCCAAGGACTTTGTACTGAATAAGTTTTCGAACTCTTTAGTCTTTAAGTGTCTTGGTGGTTCGATGCATATGATTGCATTGTAGCGCGCATTGTTGTTTGTGTCCGTTGTTTCGAGTGTAGCTGATTGTACTCTGTAGAACGTTGATTGATTGGTGACATATCATATTGAACTATTGTCGAGTGTGTTTTATTGTTTTATCTGCCATATTTCAGAATATATTTTTGTTTTGTTCATCAACTCTCGGCTCCGACTTGTTCTTTGGGTCACAGCCGGCGTACGGTGGCGCTCCAAATAGGACCACCTCTAAATTGTCCACGCTTTCGTGGTGCAGTTCAGGGGGCCGATACTTCGGCCCTTGGAATTAGCCCGGCAATCACCTCCCTAATTAACGGGACCTGGGACAGCTAGTGCGATGCATTATTATGACAATATTTCATGTTGCATTGCGAAGCATGTATACAGGACGCGGGTGCTTGTAAAGCATGAAAGTTATTTTCTCTGCATTTCCAAGCAGCCAGGAAGTGCTTTTCATCCTATTTAAGAGCAGAGGCGTGTCTGTGTGGTAGAACACCTTCTTGCCCCGCAA